TATCTATGTTGAAGAATAAGAGTTGGTCATCTAGAAGTTTAAAGGTACTTTTAGCATTCCTCATTTAAACTAATAATGATAGAAAGCTGCTGGCAAACTGCAAAACAAATAATACAAATTAGAAAAGTGTCTGATGAGAAAATGTTAAAAATCCCACAAATCCACTGAGATCTCAAATATGAAGGAATATGTTTGGTGCTGATTGTTGTGGACTCAAATGATCGGATCTGATGACGGCAGAGATTGATGGACTTTATTTAGCTTTGAGAAGAGCAGGAGTTGGTGGTGACTGTGGAGGATGAGGAGGAGGAAGAAGAAGCATCTCTGATGCTCAGATCTTGCAGAAGGAATTCATCCGTTGGGTGTTGATCAGCTCCTGGTGGATCTGGAAGTCTGTGGAGTCCACCAGAGCCTGGAGAAAACCACATAGAAAATGTCTGATATGAATATATCATACAGCACAAATCCTCCATTAAAATATTTACATTCAGAAGAGAATCAGAGCTTCAAACAGTTCACACCTCAGATATTATTCTAAGATGTCCTATCACAAAGATATAAAACATCCCGGACTTCTACAGACTTGATCATTTCTAACAAGCATTAAAACACCTGATGAACTGAAAATACATGGAAAGACACTGAGACACCACAGATACAGTAGATGTGCATCACACTGATGACGGTACCTTAAATGCAAAGCATTGTGGGAGGAAGAAGAGCTCTTTCTATGAAGTTCAGCGTCAGCAACCCGTTTTCCGAATGATGGAGGTTCATGTTGATGACTGTGTGCTCTTCCTTCATGCAACATGAAACCTGCGAGAAGAAGAAGATGGAGAACATTTAAACATAAAGGCAGCTTTAATCCATCAGCCCAGCAGACTGTTATTACACACTGATCTGTTTGTTCTCTAGAAGCTTCTATTTACCAGACTGAGTGTGTCCCTCTGCTCCTCCACTCAGGTCTTCTCATGGCAGTAGGCCAGTTCCTCCTTGGTGATATATGATCGTCTTCTCAAGTCCATTCAGGATTTAAAAAACTTTATTCTCTGTAAAAGTTAAGCCAGCAACCTGCAGGTGGAGGCGTCAACTGCAGGTTGCTTGCAGAGGCTGTAGGTCGATGTTCAGTTTGCAGCTTTCTACCAAAATGGACAGGTGAAGGAGGCTGCAGATTCTGGCGTCAGGCTGCAGCTAACTAACAGTTAACAGTAGACTGTGTCCCAAAATATTCAATATATTCTGCCATGTGTTGTTAACTTTGTAATTCTCTTTTTCATTCATTCATTGTGAACAATCTGGGACATCAACTTTTTTTTAATCCAGAATATGAAAGTCAAATATCTGACCTGGCCGTCCCTGCAGCATGGACACTGTCTGCAGGCTGCAGGCTTCCTGTCTTTCTCTGCCCGGCGTCCATTGACTCTCCTTTCTCTGCAGTAGTCGTGGTCTCGCAGGTGGATCGGCTACAAAACACTCACATGTTAGAATGAGGCTTCACAAGTACAGGAAATGCAACAAACACCACTGAAGAATGAGAAATTTATGTCACAATGTTCTGCAGTCAAATTAAAAATGTCCCCTGAAAGATGACACAACCATGTTGCCTGTTAGTCCTGTCAACACATGGAGTTCTGTTGGTCCCTAAAATGTCCCCATAAAAGGGTCACAATAACCTGCCAGGGGGCCCTGGAGAAAAAAAGGTGCTACTGGTCCTCTGTTAATCTCTGATCCTCACACACTCATTTAGGAATATGCAACACATCAGTGAAATAAAAAGTGACACAGGGGTCGTCTTCAGGACAAAGTCAGGAATTAAAGCAGAACGCACGGCCCTTATATAGTCAGTGGGTGTTATGTTTTAATGCTGCATATTCCTACAAAATAATCAATTCAATGAACACAAACACTAAGTTGTGTATGGAAATATAACATCACATATCTGCTGGGAATTAAAGGCCTCTCTATTGAAGTACAGTTGTACTTATGGCAACACTTAAACTCACAGTATCACTGTGTATCCCAGCTGGGAGCTGCTGATATACATTTGTGATATAAATTATATGTAATATATATATATATTAAGATGACATTATCAGTAAGGCAGCCGTTATAATGATTAGCTTGGTCTCTTTTAGTGATTAGATGAAGTGATCCGGTTCAGTCCAGTTCTGACAGTAAGCTAATGACTTTATATATTGTTTATAACAATGAGCTAATCCTGATTTCTGCTTCAATATTAATATTAATGTGTGCACCATGTGACCCCGGGGTGGGGACAGTGTTCATGACAGAGTCTGTTAACAAAGTGTCAGAAAACTAAGAGGCCCTGAATACATTCACATCACTGGGTCTCAATGTAATCTGTGCTTCTACTGATGTTCTATTTGTTCCCTGTTCACTGTTTGTATGGAGCCTAATATTATTTACTTTAATTATGAGTTCATTAAATACTCGTAGACATCACACAGCAGCAGAGTCCATAACTGCGTCTCCAGTTCTTCATATGCACGAGGCATGCAGACTGAAATCTTTATTATTCTAATTCAAGCATCCTTCCAGTTACATCTAGGAGCTTTTAGAAGTCCCATAGCACTCTATAGTCATGCAGGAGTGAAATATTCATTTATATGTATGAATCATATTCCCAACAAGTGTCCCACATTAACTTGAAGTCTTTGCACTTTACTCTTATAATGCTAACAATAGATTTAAAGTGTTATGTCGTCCATGTGATGGTGGGTTACCATTGAGCAAAACACCTGAGTGTGCCCTCCACTAAGACCTATAATATTGTGGACTTTGATGTCTTTTAGAGAAGCCCTGTTTTATGATTTATACTATTTTAGTTTCTATTGGCCTCCTGGTGCATATTTCTAAATAAAGTTGTGTGTAATCAAAGTGACCTGGAGCCCGATTAGTCCAGGAGTCCTGGTTGGTTTCTGGGTTTGAGGAACACTAATGAAGCTATAGCGGTCTGTGTGCTCTGTGCTTGATTGCGACTTCACTTAGGCAGCAGGTTCATAATCATGCAGAGAGGACGGGAAGAGGGGGTCATGAGTCGGGGACCAGCAGTAAACTTCTGCTCCCAACAGGTTCATGTGACTGCATGAGCTTTATACAGATGTTATGACAGAGAACATCTGTGAATTGGATATCTTAGAGAAATAGAGCAAAGAGGAAATTCTGCTGAAATCTTTCATTTCATTAATGACATTTCAATCAGTCAACAAAGGTCACCTTCCCTTGTTTCCTTCATTATGATCCCTATTTAGAGAAGCATCGCTCCTTCATGACGTCGTAGCAGACCTCCACCACCTGAGGGCGCAGCAGAACAAGACGTGTCAGGGAGAGAAGAGCAGAAGCAAGATCCTAAGAGAAGAGGATTGAGAGCAGATGCATACCTACCTTGATGAAGGATCTCAGTGGAAGAACCCTTTAATGACCTCCTAACATTCATATCTGCAGACCTGATGGCTCGTTGTAAAACTAGAGACTCGTGATTATTTTTAATGATCTACTTAATTCCCTTTCTAAAGAGCCAAAGAACTCTTTCTCAGCAGACATGTTGAGTGCTCACAGTGTTTGATCTTAGTAGGAAAAGCACAGGTGTTACTGACAACATTAACATGGCTGTGTTGTGTTCAAGTGTCCCAGAGAGCCGTCATTCATTGTCTTCCGTGTAAAAGGCCCATCAAGTCACTGACCGTTATGGTCAGAGCACCTGACGTGGTCTAAAGAGTGAGATAGTCCACACAGGGTGTGCAGGTGTGAGGGGGGGTCAACGGGTTAAATAAACACAGAGCTGGCCAAATGGTTTTGATCCTAACTTCCTTTGAAGATAGAAGTTTATTTTGAAAAGCCACATCCGAGGAGTACCTAGAGCGTCAGAGTTTGAAGCTTGGGGCCGCTGACCAAGCGTTGGTATTTGACGAGTTGGGAGTGAGAACGTGTTGTCTAGTCACAGGTGGGATCCCACTACTGAGCACCACGGAGGCTTTGACCTCTCAGACCTGGGCCGGCGCTCCCCGTCATAGAGGACCTGGTTCTCCTGGGCTCCCCCAGGAGAACCAGGTCCATACCGGACTTAGTGCGGACCAAGGGCCTAATTTACAGTTTACAGTTACTCTTTTTCAGAGGGCAGTGTCAGACCACTCCAATTTTTAAAGTCCAATAACTCTTCACGCAACACATTCATGGAAGTTTTTAAAAATATCTTTAGGAAATAATTGATTGTGTCTGTAACTCAGCAGGAACAACTGCACTCGTCATGACAAAAACTGATCATCTTGTAACTGAATAATCACAATTGTGGCCAAACAGGTGCACGCAGTTCAGTAATCAGGCATAACATTTGTGTGATATGAGCAATAGTATTGTTTATGATAATATATGTTTGGTATGTCTAATATCCTTGCTTATATTTGTAATAGACTGAAATTATAATGATTTAGGGATGGGTTATAGTCTTTTATTATGACTGCATTATTTAAGCTGCTCCGTGCTCTAGATTATAACCAACCCAGCACTCATCAGCTTTAATATGAGCGGTAATAGGCCGACAACCCATAAAGGTTTTTAAATAAATGTATTGACAAGCCTCTGAAGTCTAGTTTTAAAATGAATACATATCATTTTTATGTGGGGGCAGAATTTGAACTAAAGCCATGCAATAGGAGAAAAATGACATCGGTTGAGTCTTTACAGTCATCACTTCTATTTTTTTCCCACACAGGTGAACAGTGTGACGTAGTCCGAACGAGGCTGAACCAGTGGCACGGGGTCATGATGTCCTCTGCTCATGAACGTAAGAGCATTAGCCCGTCTTAAAAAGACCAGTCTCCACTCGAGCCGTCTCCAGCCATTACTCAGGGACGGGCAGCGTAGAAACAATTTCATTTCACACCCTGCCTCACTTCCACCCACAAGAAATTACACCAACCATCCGGAGAAAGAAGTTTTTCTTCCCTCCTAAACATCAGAAAACCATCAGAACAAGACATAGAATTAGATTTTTATTTGGAGAACACCTACTTTGGATTTGACTCTACCATCTCGGACAGTATAAATACAGAAATATATACAACAGTTGAAAAACAATATGGATTGAAAAATACATCTTTTATGCTGTTGGTTTACGGGAGGTGTAAGCCTGCATCTACAGCGGATAAAACATGCTCTGTGATTAAAACATAGGAACTATATATTCATCTTCTGAACACGGCCTCACCACTTTACCGTAATTACAAGGTGCCGTGATTCAGGAGCAACAGCAGCATAAGTAGTAGTAGAAGTAGTATGAATAGTATTCGCTAGGTAATCTCAAGGCTTTTCTGTATACACTTAGGTTTGCTTAACAGCCATTGCCTCTAACAGAGTTCATATATGGTAGCAGTGTATGTTACAGGATGTCTTGTCTCCTCTTCTTCTTTTTTTTTGTAGGGGGGTTTCTAGTGTAAATGTTTGTGTTCATGTTGCTGATCACCGGTCCAGCCAGCATATAGACGGGTAGCGCTCACTCAGCGTCTTGCGCAGCTGAGCGCTCTGTGTCTTATCCCTGGTTTCCACCACACACTCCACCTGTTAAAACACACACACCAACACACACAATTAGCCCTCTGACATCACATACACGCACTAGTATATATCGGCAGGGAGCGGTTACTTATGCAACACCTTTCACCTTTTGACACGGCTGGTGAATTAACAGCACGGGGCCAATTTGTCAATGTGGAGCGCAGACGATACGACGATGAACCAGGAGACAATGAGACGGCTTCTTTCGGAGGCAATTTAACAGTTTCATTGGGTTTTGTTTGTTTAAAGCAAGATGGAACGAGGCAATTCTCGTTATCAAGAGAAAAAAAAATTGGTTGGAGGTCGTCCAAAATAAGAGATAAAGTGACACTATGTAACTTTTGCTGAACAGCTGCCAAAGCTAAAATGCTAACGCTAAAGCCTTACGGTAGCACGTGCTGAGTCACGAAGTCTACAAACTGTATCCGGAGTTTGCTAACACGAGCTAACATTAGCCAACATGAGACGCTGGTCACACCAGACCAAGTAAAACCTCTGACAACACTGAATATAGCGCAGGGTGTGTTTTAGTGTTTATGAATTAAACTTTTCATTTGTAACAGGGAGAATATTTCCTCTATCAATTGTTAAAGAGTCCCACTTTAAAACCTTATACCAGGCTAAATTATTTACAATGAATACAATAATATGGCCCCCTTTCAAAAGGTTTTAAGAGCTGTAACTAATGTCTTTATTATGGTACATACGTAATTAGTTGATAGTGTTTATATTTTGTATTAATGGAGTTATAAATATTGATAATCCATTAATAAATACTCGCTTTGAAATAGGCCATCTAGTCTGCAGTTATAAATATTATATAGGGCTTTGAACCATAACTTATGCAGTTGTAAATAAGTTGCTGATAAATGGATTGTGGTCTGGAGCCCTAACTGGTCCAACCAGTCAGAGATTTATTAACAACCTGGCAACCCAAAATTAGTTTTTTTTGATGGATTATAACTGATCTATGAAGCATTAATACATTATTTTTTAATTATTGATAAATCCATTAGGTACAACTTTATGAAGGGTGCCTTATTAGAAAGTGGTACCAGTATTTCTTGCAGTGTAAGCGTAGGTTCTTCCCGGATCTGCAGAGAACAGCATATATCTCTCTTTATTTCACTTGATTTGTATTCTTGGCCCTCTGAGTCACTACATTTTGTCCTGCTAACTCAAAGCCATAAGGTCCACGGCAGTGACGGAGAAGCAGATGAGCTGGTTGAAGAGGAGGACAAAAAGACGAGAGATGAGTCGCCTACCTTCGCCTTGAAGAGGTCTGACTTCTCACTTTGTCTCCGATGGCAGACGTCCAACAACCTGGGAGGAAAAAGACAGAGACGGCGAAGAATTCAAAGTGACACAGAGGGTACAATAACGGTCAAGCAGGTCGGACCTCGGCATGAGACAACGGAGCGAAAGATCTTTAAATAGACGGGTGTTGGCTCTGTACCTGACGTCTTCTCTGGACAGGAAGTCCAGCAGCTTAGCCATGTCTCCTGGCCATTCTCCCAGCTGCACAGAGAACTTGCTGACCCGGTCGTCCAGCACCAGGGCTCGGTCCACACACTGCCTCATCAGCTCCAGTTCCATGTTAGCGCTGCTCACCACTACAGCGACCCTACAGCGCACACACACACACATACATGCACAGGGGAAGTCTTGTTTCATCTGCAGCCAACAGATTAGCTCTGCTGACATCGCCGTAATGCCAAAATGTCAGTTTCTCAGGCATGGAGGAAAATGCCTCGGCCCTCACACATAGGATTATATTAAAAATGATACAAAGGGTTTTTACTTCTTTGGGAAAAAAAGAAAAAAAACTAGGCCTCCTACACAAGAGAAAACCTTCCACAAACATGAAGTGCTTTAGTTAAAAGATGTTGAAAGCAGTGAACGAATGCCGCTGTCTGTTCCTGGGCTCAGTCAGGTTTGACAATATTAACAAGTCTGACCCACTTTTTGCCTTTCAGCTCTGGTAGTTGTCCTGCCAAGATGGCAGCCAGCCCCATGGCTCCCTCTGTGTCCACCGTGGAGCGTTCAAACTCCTGAAACCGCAGCATCGCCACCAGAGAGTCCTCTTCACTGTGAGGCAGAGGCAAGGAAAGGAAAAAAAAGGTACGGCAGCCTTTTCAATTTTCTATCACAACTGGTAAAACGCAGGTGAGGATTTCCACAGTGCATTATTTTTTTAAATGAGGTTTTTGATATGAGAAGATTCTGTCAAAAACAACACTCAATATCTGCATTAAAATACCTGAAATACAAATTCCGAATTTCAAAACAGGCATTGCGTCATAGCAGTGAACCATCATCTGAATTTGAACACATAGGGCATATTTTTCACACAAGCATGAAAGTGTACGAGTGCTGTGGAGATGCAGTACCTGACAGAGATGACTCTATCTACCAGTTTCTTTGCCAGCTCGAAGGTGTTGACACCCAGTGAACGCTCCATAAGATCTGAGGAGAGACAGAAGATCAACAGTGAAATATGAAGATGGTGATGAAGTTTATTCAACGTTCACACGACAGTTCTGTACGACGTCTGGAACCAGAACCAACTAGCACATGTTTGAACTGTGTTTACCTCCATAGAGTTTCTTATTGGGGTTGCTGTGGATGTCTTTGATTGGACCATCGGTTTTGAGAGATTGTAGCAGCAGAGGGAAACCTTCTGGTTCAATTCCCTGCAGGAGAAAGCCCATGTAGTGTCACCGTATTACCACCAGAGTCCTCTGTGAGGCTGTGCAACACAACGGTGCTTTGAGCTACATGCTAACGTATACATTCTAACAATCTTTATGTCCGTAGGTATGTTTACCGTGGTCGCCATTCTAGCGTAATGTGTTGGCATGCTAGTATTTGCAGAAAACAAATTACAGCGAGCTTTAAGTTTTGCAGGTGTTTTGTCATCACCCAATGGATTGGTAAAATAATACATTTTGACCTGATGGTGGCGCTACATTGAAAGTTAGAGGCCCACCAAAGTTATTACATTTAAACCTGATGGGGACATGAATGTCTCTAACAAATTTCATAACAATCCATCAACCAAAGTGGTGGATCAACAGAGCAACCATCTGTAATTACAATCCCCAGAGGCCTTTAGTGTGATTAAAAGTTTTATGTTCCAATCCCATAATTCATTATGGTTACTCTTCCTCGTCCAGAAGTGGAATCCAGGACTTTCAAAGGAAGATATTTTCACTTGAATTCACCTGGGATGCATACTCAGACAGACTGCATTTAAAAAAAAAAAAATGCTCATGCAACATTAATAAAATGTAAAACATTTGTATGATTACTATAATGAAAACACGACCATCTACGGGAAGATTGGCAGCCTTAATCAGCCTCTAAATTGCATTTAATAATGTTCACTACTGGGATAAACTTCCTCAGACACAGGGGTATCTATTCATGACTGACAATAGAAGGACGGGGCTGTTCTGTTCCTCAAGTGTAAACAGAGCTGAAGCTGTCAGAGTTTCAGTAGTGAGCATATAGTGGAACAAGGGAGACACTTCAAATACATTTATCTTGTTAAGTAAAATTCAAGCAGTAGGAAAAAAAATCCCACTTGGATCCACACCAGGAAGATGTAAGAGGAGACTCATCTTTGCAACAAGAAGTAAAGGTTTATGGGAAATGTGACCTGATTTTGAGAAACAGCACTAACAACACCACTGGTGTGACGTAGAGGCAGCTCGTCTTGTACATTGCAGGCATTGTAGTTCAGAAGACGGTGATGTACAGGTGTTTATAAACTCTAAAGTCTAACTTCTGAGTGTCTACTTACTATGACAAGAATTTGCGAGTTGAGGTGCTTGATGGCTGCAGCTGTAGCGGCCAGTAGACCGTACTGTCCGGCAGCGGGAACGACCACTGCATCCAGTTTGGACACTTGCTCATAGATCTCTATGCCCACGGTGCCCAGACCTGCCAGGTAGGCTGCGTTTTCATCTCTGGGCAGTAGAAAACAGAGATAGAAAGAAAAAGGAATGTGATTTGAATTCGTCGCAGACTTCCATTACAGTATGCAAAAGTAACCATAGTGTTACCAGAGTAAACAACCCCCTAAAAGTTCAGTGTGTGCTGTAGCTGTATTTGCATGAAATAGCTCTCGCGAGGACATACCATTTACTACTTAAAGGTACACTGTGATGTATTTAGGGGGACCTATTGGAAGAAATGGAATATAATATTAACAAGAATGTTTTCTTTAGTGTATAATCACCTGAAAATAAGACTCATTTTTGTTTTAGTTACACTAGAATGTTTATATCTACATATGGAGCCGGCCCTCTTCATGGACGCGGCCGCCATGTTTTTTCTACAGTAGCCAAGAACGGACAAACCAAACATCTTCACTTCTCCCATTGGAGGTACTAGACTCAGGACCGGCCCCTAGTCTCCTAAAAGGACGTGGGCAGTGGCGAAACCCAGATGACACAGATACAGGAAATGGCTATGCTAGTAGTGGCTAATGTAGCCTCTGGCCCTTATCCCTTCTTTTTAACTCCACGCCCCCAGAGTCCTTTTTACCAGACTTAACCCAGCTCCCTCTGGAGCCACAAAATGCTCACAACAAGTTTCTCATATGCAGTAGTACTCTTTCTGTGGCCTGTAAACAGGCTTTGATGTAAAAAAGTAGTGGTGGTGCTTTTCCTGCTCTGACAAGTCAAAATGTCTGCCTGTTAAATCAGAACTGCAAACTACAAGTAAACCTCAACAACGTTGCAGGCTGACATATTGTCACCTCCGTGGGAAACGTAAAAGTGAGCGTGGTGGGGACTGACTCTTCCAGGTAGAGGTATCCGTTCTCTGTGGCCAGATGGCGGGCGTGGTTCTGCGAGTCGTGGCTGGTGCCGCCGTAGGAGATGACCATAGCGCCGTAGTCTCTGTAGATCCTGAGGCGAGGCGAGGAGCAGCATGACGGCATGATGACAAACACCGGGATCTTCAGCTCCACGGCGTGGTGGGCCACGGCCATGGAGAAGTTACAGTCACTGGCCACGATCACGCCCTTCCTCTGCTGCGCCTGGACGGGACGAAAACACAGGCTTGACATATATTCATAAATCACAGATATGTACAGACAGAAAACATCAATAGATTTGGTGGAGGTCAATGAAGAATCCTCTACACGGGACTCTTTCTTGGCGTGTTGTTGTTTTTTACACTTTTGGACGTGTTTTAAAATAATTACAATAATTGGTGGATCTATGACATACTTGTAGGTACATTTTGTCACCCTGAGCCAGAGCCAGTCCCAGTTCCCAGTCTTTATGCTGAGCTAAGCTAACCTTATATTTAGCAAACCGATACGACATTTCCAAAAATGGCAAACTATACCTTTAAATAGATATTACATTACCACACAATTACCGTTTTTTTTTAGGTGGATTTCTGGCCTTTGCAAGCATACATGTGATATAACCTCTCTCTTAAGCCAGTGTTTCTCAAAATGTAGACCACGATCCCCATAATCCCTGATGCTTCCTGTCACAAAGAAGATCTCTGCACGGCTTTACTGACGAGGATAAAGTCATTTTTCCATCTGTGTGCTCAATCCGTCACCACTTGTCCTCGCCAGAAACTGACTAGCTTAAACTTAAGAATTCATAAGGAACCGAGAAGCAAAGTTTCATATGATCGAAATTCATTTTAGTTCTCTCACTTGTGTCACTTGCTCACAGACACACAGCATACACACACTCAAAGGGACACGTTCCCAAGCCACTGTCCGTTAAAGCTGCACTCGGACTATTTTTGTCACTGCGGGTCAGCAATGGGCAGTTCACACATGAGTCTGCATGATCTACATGCAGACTCATATTATCTGTGATCTACACAGATAGTAGATCGCACTAGCTGGTGACGTGGAGGACAGGAAGGGATCATTCTCTCTCTCTCTCTCTCTCTCTCTCTCTCTCTCTCTCTCTCTCTCTCTCTCTCTCTCTCTCTCTCTCTCTCTCTCTCTCTCTCTCTCTCTCTCTCTCTCTCTCTCTCTCTCTCTCTCTCTCTCTCACCTGTGTGAGGGAGCTGAGCAGGTACAGGACTCCTCTCTCCTTCACAGAGCCTGTGTAGTGCAGGTGCTCCTTCTTCAGGTAGATGTCCATCCCGTACTGTTTGGACAGTCTGGAGTACTGTGCACACACACGAAAGGATAAGCAGCATTTTGAGGGCAGCTCAGTATTTATGATATTACTTATGTGTAAACTGAACTGTACAGTAGGTCAAAAAAATATTTCGTTAATCTGAAATTCCCCATTAGATGTCTGTATTTTATCTTATGCATCTATTTATTTAATTGTTGAGTGGTGAACCATCGATAGTCCAATTTGTCCATTCCTTATAGCCCTTAGATTGTTTCTATGAAATGGGTTTCTGAGAAACCAGGTAAGGTCACGGCATGCTATCGTACCGTGCAAGGCGTCTTCTGGATCCCCGTCTGGATCCTGAAGGCCGCAGCGCTGATGTCCTCGAAGCAGAGATACTCGACAAGAGGCCTGGGGACGATCCGGAACTCGCTGACGCGTCTGGTTTTGGGGGGCTCCATGAGCATGATCTCGGAACCCCCCACCACCTTGGTGCCAAGGACCCTCACATCCCCGTTGAGTAGCTCCTCCTCACCAAAGTCCTTCAGTCGCTCTGGTTCAATGAGGGGGGGTTTGCGGCACACGGTGCCGTTGCTGACATGGCCACATTTGGAAGGGCCGCCGGGCTGACTGGGGCCCAGACGCAACTCATCTCTGGGAGAGAAGACAACAGACAGACGTTATGAAAACTGACCTGTACTTTTGCAAACGTTTCAGACTTGTCTTTGTGTTGCTTTGTGCCCGAGAAGCTGAGATTGTAGATCCATTTTGCACAACTTATGTTGTCAGAAATCAAAACCAGATGACAAACAATTCACAAATTTGAATTTAAGAGGTTGGTGTTCAGCAGCTTGTGCTCAGGTCAGGGAGTTGGAACTTCCCCAAAAGACCTGAACTATGGAAGACATTTTACATCAACTTATGCTTTCAACTGTATTTTCATGTCGGAAACCAATTGGCTTCTGAAATGTAGGAAAAAAAATTATAATTTAGACTACTATGGCATATTTTGTTTGGCAGCTATGGGCTATGTCAAGTATTTTGCTTTGCATAAAACAAATACATAGACTTGGTTAGAAAGAAAGAACCTACCTTTCCAATCAAAGTGTTCTTATACAGAGAACGTATTCACTGTACAGTATATTTTCATTCAAAACTAAATTACAATTGCTTGGATATGAATCAGAGAAGAAAGTAGCAATGTCTCTGTGTGGCCGCCAGCCTAAAATATCAGTGAAATGCTTTCTTGAGAATACAATTTTTGACGATAGCATCTAGTGTCATCGGTCTGCAGTGTTAGAGCTGTTAACTTGCCTACCCACACACCTCGATTCACCTAATTCACATTCGACACTGAAACCATGATTCAGTTATCACTGTTAGAGCTACCAGTCCTGTTAACATTTGGGTTGGGAGTGACATTTTCTGACCTGATTAAATTGAAAACGAACAGACTCTACATGAATAGACAGACACACACACACACACACACACACACACACACACACACACACACACATACCCCCGATCCCTCAGTCTAAGATGAATGGATTCACCTTTCATGTCACCCCAGCTTCCACCCACTGTGACAGATTACATCTAGAGTAGTCCGTCTATGATTCATTGGGTCATTCAGCTCTTCTTTTTCAGAGATGCACAAACGATTAAAGTGTCAATTTAGGGCAAAAGGCAGGGCAGTTTGATTTATAACAGCTCAGTTAAATGGCCATTGAATACAATCAAATATCACAAGTCATTTAAAAAGCTTCATTTCTTCTACTGACTCTACGTGAATTTCTCGAATGACATTACAAAAAACTGGATTAATCCTCAGACTCGATTGTGGAAGTTTCTCTGACTAGGCCCTTTACACCGCATGAACAGAATGATAGGATTACACCCTTCGGAGATTACCCCGTCACTTAGCCACTAAAGCAGATCACAAATGGTTAAGTTTGAATAAGGTTGTGCAGTGGAGCCGTGCCAGTCATTTTCAGATCCACGGTATATGCAAAAAGGGCAGTTTGCTGCATCATGGTAGTCCAGATACAGCTGAATAACTGAAGAAGAGTCAAATTATAAAGAATCCAGTGATGAAAGTGCTTTAGCTTTTAGTGTGTTCAAATACCAGGAGGCCACCAGGTGGAGCAGTTCTCCCAACAAACATTTGAATTGGCCTCACTCTGCAGAAAACATCCTAGTCTATTTATACCCCAATGATCGGCCATGAACAATATGGTAACCTTTCACCTCATCTCTGGGGTCCATTACTGCCCTCTGCCCCACTTGTCAGTCCCTTTCAGTCCATTATATAGAAAAGTCCGAGGCCGCACCTGTGATTAGGGTGCTTTGGTTCAAAAGCAGAGTTCAAAAAACAACATCAAAGGGACGAAAGAGCAACATGGCAGCCAGTATCAAGCTTTAAAAAGCCTCCTCCAAAGAGATGAAGAGCTGAGATGGTCAAAGAAATAGCCTCTTTTAATTCAAATTGGTACCCAAGGAGACATTTCAGTCCACCAGGCTTTCTCTCAGCTTCTTCATGTCCCTTTAATGACTAAATGCTCGAACAGACTGCTGTATCGCTTCCTTTTGCTACTGGAACAATGTTCACTTGAGAGGAGAAAATGTCTCCCAGCACTATATGACCCTGATTGTTAGTGTCAGTTCTGCAGCTTTCTGTCTGACTCTTGCATTCTTTGTCTGGTTTGTTTTAGCCTGCTGACGTATCACAAGCAGCACTAGAAGATTTGGATCCTCACACCAAAGTATTCGAAAGACGTACTTTGTTTTTCTTTAGTATGTCAGTCATGATTGAAGACATGTCCGTCCAAAATCCTTCTGACAATCCTTACAATCATGGTGTTCCTTTTTGGCTAAGACAATCCCCCCTACAACTCCTATATGTGACATTATTTATATATTGCACAATTGCACTAAAAGGGTTCGTGAACAGCCTTCCTCTTTGATTCTATGCCACTCTTTGCCTTCCCTCTGTCTTTCTCTAAATCTATGAGAATTACCTGGGGAGGAAGAGGAGAACAAGGTAGAGGACCAAGCGAAGGAGGAAGTCTACAAGGGCTTGGAAGGTTGGGAGTTGCTCTCCTCTAAAAGGAGCAGGAGCTGAGGAGGAGGAAAGAGAAGACGAGGAAATGGAAGACGAGGATGCCATTTCTGCTGGGGATCTGGATGGAGCAGGAGAAGGTTTGCGGGGAACCATCTGAAGAGAAAGATTATCCGAGGGGAGTTCGTAAAACCTTGATTTGGCAATCGCAGCAGCCAAACACGGATTTGGAAGACAAGTGAGCGGTTGTGTTGATTTCCTCTCATCATTAAGGTGAGGAGGAGGTGGCAGAGGAAGAGATTGGAGATCTGAAGATGTGTCTGTCAGGGTTGGCTGCAAACTAAGTGGGTGAGGAGGAGGAATGGAAGTAACTGAAGAAAGAGGCACCAAGGCTGTCTCCGAACTCCAGGCAGAGGGTAGATCTGTCACTATGGGACTGAGTTGGTTAGGGGAAGGGTCTGGAGGATCCAGGGGGCTACCTGTTGTAATTTCCCACCTCTGCCAGAAGGGGTCCTTCTCCTCGCTGGCTTTAAGTGCAGGCCTGGGTGAGTACAAACGCTCAAGTCGCTCGCTCAAGTAGCTCGAGTAGAACATTTGGGCCGCAAAGTTCATCCTGGTCGAAGCACTGTCCTCCTACAGTCCAACAAGTCTCTGTATCCGAATCCCTCTCCTCCTCCGGCTGCTGTGTGTCCCTGGCATAAGAGAACACTGGCTAGAGCTGCTCCCACGGTGTAACGTCCCCTGCCCCAGGTTCCTCCTTCTTTCCTTGCCCTAGGGCTATTTCAGAAGGGATTACCCAGGGACACATGGTGGCTCTACAGTGGCTCTACAGTGGCCTGGCTCCTCCCAGGGCTCTATTCCTGGTCCCAGACCGGGATTACTGCCCAATTCTATGACGTAGTGCTAATCAGACAGTCTAAGGAGATAGATGCAGACTTAAGGTTTATCTAGGGAGCAGTGATCTGGAAGCTCAACCACACAGAGGAGACATTGGAATAAGAGAATAAGGATCAAATAATTGTACCTGCAATATTTGTGAAAAGGAACCATAAGTAACTCCCATCTCTATGCATATTATCTAGAATCCAGATGCATTGCACCTCATCTTAAAATACTCTCAATGGAATGAGTAATCAGATGCATCTGTAAGAAACTAAAGCATGATGTTGCTGCAGAAGATCAAGGATTTCCTGGATAAGCAGTACATGTGCAGTAACTTTGGAGAGATTCAGGCTACCAGGCAGCCACATAACAGAGACTTTAGGGAAACTAGAAGAGATAAAGTGGCTGCTGCCAACACTCAGCAGGCAGTCCAGATCCTACTCAGCTCTGATCGGATGTCCAACGTGTACCTCAAATCTGAACTGAACAGCAACAGTGATGCCAGCGTTCACTGGACAGGTTCTTTCCAGATAATGAGTGTGCCCCAAATAAATCAAATCACTACAGGAATGTGTATAATCAGAGATAATCCCTTCAGCAGACATGGCTCAAACTGTATTTGCAGGTAAATCTGAGCGTAGTGAATGGAGTGTTAGATGGGTGGAGCTTACAACCTCAGCATGGTACAGAAAGTGTTGAGTAAAGTGTCAGGCACAGCAAAGGAAATTAAGTTTTACAAGTTTTACTAGTGAGAGTTAAAAAATCTCCAGTAGTGATGGTGTTGTATCATCTGATAACATTCCACACACATCTGCCCCAGAAGGTCTTACACGTCATACAACCTATAGTTTACCAGTGATACTGATGCGTTTTTTTAAAATTCAATACCCATCTTGTGGACGGAAACTGTGTCTATCCCATTAGCTAATCGCCACCGCTCTGCATTGTGATCATATGCCGGTCACCGCTGACAATGCTGTCCCACAACTGACAGTGGCGGGACGGCATTTTCTCCAAAGTGTAACACCAATCCTACGCGCCCCCCCAAAAAAAGAGTGAAATCAGCCATTTGTCAAGTAATGGACCGTTGATACAGTTTACAGTTTTGCCCACAGAAGTTATAAATGTTCAGACCATGGAAGGAAACGTAACATCAACTTTGAATATCTGAAAGATTTGTCTTCATAATTTGGAACCTATGGTACTATAATAGAAGGCAGAAAAGATGAGTCCCAGTCTTCTCGTCATATAATGTTATTATATTGAGTCTGACCACTTAACACACCTTGAAATAGTCCTTTCAGTCAGGCTGTTGATAGTTTCTGTAAGTACAGCAAATTCACAATAGGATTAAGACGCAGTCAAGGGAAACCAAAGGTCAACGAATGACCCGTGCTAAAAGCAAAGGGTGGAGCTCTGTTTCTTTTGATGGAGTCACAGACTTCACACACACACAACACATCTCAGCCAAATTAGATTTAGCTCCTTAAAAAGTGTCAGGAAGACGGTGTATGCCAGAGGCCACACAGGCTCACTTCTTGGCAACAATAAGGTGAAGATACCGGTTAGTCTTGATAGACTGACGGTCTCCTTCATCCCTTCATGCTTGTGAGGACATTTGGTCATCAAAGCGACTGGCAGTCATTACATTGACCGAAACGAATGGACAGACGAGGACCAGACAGGAATAGACGAAGACAAGGTGACCCCGCCTCCAGCAGTCTGTCACACCACAGATCAGCAGGACGACGGCCCACTGGATGCCATGATCCTCTGGCTCTGTGTTGGTGTCAACGAACACCTGACTGAAGGGTTACAAGATGAACTTTGACATACATTTACATTTGATATCATGCTGGTTTAGAATACTCTCTCATTTCTACTATACGCTTTCATATGACTTCGACACACTCTTGTGAAAAACAAAACCACATTTGATTTATATGATCATTTCATTGATATATTTTTAGCTCTCTCAGTTTACAAATATGTTTAACACGCTATGTCACATAACAACTTGTCAACGCTGGGCTCATGAGAATTTGGGGATCTAAAAATATAGTACGCTTTTCGACAAACTGTCTTAATAAAGACTGATATTGTAAACTTTGAACAACTATTTTATTTTAAAAGATTGATATAAAAGAGAAGAAAATAGCAAATAGAAATAACAATAATTATGTAACATTGATACTCCACATTTAACATTAAATGTATATCTCAGATTTATTGCTTTGTTTATTGTATGTTTCTGTTTTGCGTGTTTTATTAGGACCTCACAAAGCAGCACATCGGTGTAGCATCATTATTCTTTTTCTTTTTTTAATTATTATTATTGCTCTGCATGCTTTTAAACCATTTCAATTACCTTTTATTTTTTTCAATAATATCTTCTTTTTTTAGAGTGACCTTAATGTCTGTGCCGAGACCGGAGCAATGTATATTAATGTCCGTGTTACATGTAACTGATAAACGTTTTTCAAACAATTCATGAGATAAATGTGAGAGGGAAATAGCAACCGGCATTTTAACTTGATCAGCTTCATTTTCCTGTTAAATGTTAAAAATGAAAAACGTGTCTCCCATCTGTGATGTTTAGCAAATCCAATTCATTCTGACAGTATGAAGTCATTATTCTTTTATTTAGTAGTGAGCCTTCAAATGTGATTTCTAATCCTTTTGCTTCGCCTAAAAGGACATAATATGAGTTTCTACCAAGCATAAATCAGTGACCAAGAAGGTCGGTCATGTATGAAAATATAGAGAGTAATTCTTGGCACATAACCATATTTATATTTCCTTACGTCCTTGGCCTGTACCTCCTCTGGTTTCTATCTACTGACAGAACGACTCTCCTCTCTGCTTTTGATCCCTTCGCTCACTTTTCCTCCAGTTTTGTTTTCTGCTGCTTAACCTGCAGATCTGCTTAAGAGGCCGGACAAAGAGAGCAGAAGAAAGCCTGGCTTAATGAAGAGAACCACGTGTACGACGTAACAGTCTTGGCTGTGTTGTTTGTGTGTGTTGAGTCACAAAGACAGAGAAAGAGAGAGAGAGAGAGAGAGAGAGAGAGAGAGAGAGAGAGAGAGAGAAAGAGAGAGAACGAGAGAGAGAAGTCAATTCAGTGAGAATAGCAGGAACCAATCAATGCGATTATAAAGGGCATTCTGTGCTGCAGAATTGATTTTTCAACTTCTCTGACTTCCTGCAGAACGGAAACACGGGACTGATTTCCCCAGGAAGAGCTGGGCAGCTTGGGGGGGGGGATACAGTTTAAAGTTATTAAAGAAAAACAAATAAAAGCTTGTGTACTTCAATCTTACCTTGTGTGTAGCTGGAAATAAGTCGTCTTTGATGCATCGCTGCATTTCTTTACATTTAGCTGCAGGTCAAAAGATTTAGAATATATAGGTTATGCATATAACATTGGACAGCTAGTCCCCTTATGTCATGTTTTCTTTATAAAGTATGTAAAAATAATTCTCTTTTATTAACTTAAGTGTGACCACTATCAAACCACAGTACCCCTCTTTAAAAGCCAGTCTGTCTGTGGCTGAACTGAGATCTGAGTCCCCTCCCCAGTACTCCCCTCCCGCCCCTTCCCAGATACTGAGCTTTTTGTTCTGCATCTAATGTTTTCATTTGGAAACTGGCCACAACCAAGTCCACGAAGGAAGCAGAAGAGAGCAAGAGAGCGAGCGCAGGGCAGAGAGGGAGAGTTGTGGAGGAGAAAGAAGTCTTTTTGTTTTTCAGTCTGGTTCTGAATTGGACGAGATTTCGGGGGGGCTGTTGGTGCCTTTTCTTTCAACAAACTCTTCACTCTTCATCACCAGCCGCTCACCAGGTTTCACCATGACCCGCCCCTCCACCTCTTCAGTTGGACTAATCCTCCTTCTGATTGGCTACGCTGCGGCAGGTAAGAGATGTAGCCGGGTGTAGTCGGGAGGGCGGAGGGGGTCGCAGGTCAGACAGGAAGGGCCACGAGGACCCACAGCTGGTTCAGTGTGTTGAGTTAACAGAACGGCTGATTTATGGAGTGCAGTGGATGTACATCATCTGATGGTCACCGCTCCATCCATTATGTCTTTGTTGCATTACATTTGTATACGTATTTCACAGATGTAAGTGTGTGTAGTGGATGGCTGGGTGAACACACGAGGCTGAACTGACATCATGGGCGTTCACACACATACATGCGAGTCTGTGTGTGTGTTCAGGGACCGCCGGCACATCTGTTACTAATTTCAGCGCAGCTCTGGCTGCACTTAATCCAATATTGTGTCAGCATAGTTTCTAACAATCACTCTCTTTCCTTCACCCATTATGTTCATCTGCCTGCTTCCAGCCAGCGTGCTTGGCTTTGTTTTCCCAGCGTTACTAAAGTGCAATGGAAATTCACAAAAATGTGGGCCAATCCCTCCAGAGCCAAATCTGTGAGTGACGGCTTCAAGTGTGAATTACACTGACTTCAAGAATGGCCGACTGCAGGGAACATGCAGCACAATGAACGCTCGGGGTACGCAGCGAGCAGAGGGCTCACACTCACAAAGCATCTGACCTCATGTTTCTTAAAAGCTACATTTTAGGTAAACATGGGTGGAATAGTTCCAGTTTAAAGGCTTTTTTTTATGCTTCGAGGGTCACCATCTCAGATAAGAGCAGGATATGGCTCTCTCTTGGTGTCTAAAAGGTTATATTTGAGTTAGAAACAATTAACTTGCCATGGAGTAAGAGGAGAATAAAAGAAAAATAGAAAAAGGCTAATGTTTTGATGGAAATCTATGTGTGCGCATTGTAAACATTGCAAACAGGTTAAAATCTTTTCAAAAAGTGTGTGTGTGGCCTGCGAAATTTTGCAGTTACAGTTGAGGTTGTTCTCCCGAAATACCGGACCAATCTTGAAATATACCTGAGTTGCTCTGGATGTGTTGAATTGAAAGCTACAAAAACAGTTGAAGTGTCAGTTGAAGAGTTTGAAATGAAAGCAGAAATATCAATATAAGCTATAAAGGTTTGTGTGTTTGAAATAACTAATAAAACATTGAATTATCTGTCGAACTGTAAGCGCCGGAGATAGTTGAAGCATTGAATAGTTGAAGTGTGTGCAATTTGAGGCGTCAGTTGGCATGTGAGCTATCACAGCAGCTGAGCTGAAAGCAGATGCATTGTCAGTTAAATTGAAATTTCAGTTGAAGTTGACACACTGAAGTTGAAGTGTGCGCATTGCAAGCAGTTGAAGTGTCAGTTGGCATGTAAGCACTAAAAGCAGTTGAAATGTCGGTTTGAGCTGAAAGCAGTTGATCTATCGGATAACAGAATAAAATCAGTCGATGTGTAAGTGTGTGCTCTGAAAGCAGTTGAAATGTCCCTCGACACGTGTGCATTTAAGTCAGCGGAGCTGTCAGTTAAAGAGCGCAAGGTGAAGGCAGACGAAATGGGTGAAAGCATTCGAAGTGTCACGGCACATTTGTCACACCATATGCAGTTTTTTTCCCCACTTCACACATTCAAACAGGCCGCCGCGCAGTACACACATCTTAGGACGGGATTTCGTCCTTCGTGGCTCATACTTGTAAACTGCCTTCAATGTTTTGGCGTCTCTCAGATTGTGCAAACACCGTTGTTGGGAACCAACGCTCTGACCTGCACTGACTTCTCAATTTTGCACTTAGCTGAACACCCTCTCTCCTGTAGAGAGCCATGACTCTGCACAAACCCACAGAGTACTGCGCGCGCGCACGCACGCACGTGCACACACACGCACACACACGCGCACACACACACACACACACACACACACACACACACACACACACACACGGTCATTCACCTTTGTCCTCGAGTGGAGTCAGTATGTTAGATCATCATATCTGTTTGCTTTTCCTGTGGTGTGTTTCCTTGGAGTGTGGGGGCTTTCTCATGTGATTGCTCAACCTCCTGGAACAGTTCTGGAAGAAAAAAAAAATACCAGCTGGACAAAAAACAACAGCCAACCCAAACGGGAACGACCACCTTCTCGCAGACTGGTGACAATATGAACTATCTCCACCAGTCAGCAATTTTGCATCGGCCACATTAATCGCATCTGTTTGTTGCACACGACACAGACACTTCTTCCTTTTCATAACAGCATTCATCACCAACATCAGTATGTAGCTCTCTGTTGCCGTGTACACACTGATCACACAAACACCTCGATGGAGGCACAGCTGTGGTTTGGAGGGGATTTGTTTTTGTGTGTGTGTGTGCTGATCGTTAAACCAGCAGCACATTCTGCTACAGCTGAAGATTGTGGTTGTTTTGAAATGCAGTAATAAAAAAACGTTGTTGTGTGGGAGATCTTCATGACTTAAACAGACTGCTGATAACGCATCTCTCACTGTCAAACCAAAGCAGGCGAGGTTGGCCAAATCCTTTCGACAAAACCTCTATCACGGAGCACACAACCAGGGCAGTACTTACTGTACCATCCATCCATCCCTCTTTATTGGCCTCCTTCCCGCATGTACTGAACTTTGCACCCCTTCAGTCGGTGTAATGGAGCTTGTAAAATGTTTCCGTGGGATATCTCTGTAAAAATCAACGTAGCCTGATGCAAAGGCATGGCTGGACATGAGAGCACAACGTGCAAAAATAAGATGTGGGAATGATTTCTGGCCGCTTTTATTGCTTAAGAAAGAAATGATTTTCAGACTCGGTGGTGAATTAAATGACTTGTTGGGATGGATACCGTTTGTAGCGTGTGATCGGCAAAATATACAATTCCTATGTCTTTATCAGTCAAAAAACAACAAAAAAGGGATAAATGTCTGCTCATGAAAAACAGATTCATCTTCTTTAGTCCGTGCCAGATGTGAATTTGGTGAAATTAACAGCTGTAGTTGCTGCTGAAGAGCTTCGAAGACGGAAACCTGAACAAAGCCGCAGTCTGTTTATTTGACAGCAGACCAGCAGGGTGTTCTTGTTTAAAACAAAATGGTTTCCAAGTGTGCACATGTTCAGCTTGTTTTCCAATGAGGACGGTGAAGCAGAGAGGGCAAAATGAGAGCATGAAGGTATGAAACGGCGGGCAAAAGGTACTGTCGGGAATTGGATTGAACCAGAAAGCTTACAAATTGAACAATCTTTCTCTTAGTGCTCAAACAAGTGTCCAATTAAAGCTGTGAAAACCAAAGAAAACCAATTTGGGGGTGTAGAGTAAAGTTTTTACAGTTGGAAAGAGCTCAAGGTATTCTTGGCTCATTGGAAGTCACTAGCTCACTGTTGGTAATAACAGAAAGTGTATTTATATGGAATGAGCTCTTAACTTTATTTTTTTAACATCCTTGTTTGGCCACTGGCAAGCAGCCACGCTCCGGGAGGAATGATATTGACAAAAACCCGCTCTGCAGAGGTGACCTATAACACTGACTTAACGGCGTTAACGTCCGGCAGCACCACACGCTCTCAGGCATTAGCTTCCCGTGTACGCTCCAAATCTTCCATTTAAATAACAGCGGTGCCAGTGTTCAGTAAATGATTTGGAGGGTTCACTCATTATCAAGTATAAATGATATCAATGGGAGCTTGGCCCGCTGCCACCGAGAAGGTGCTGGAAAATGGAAGCAGAGTCCTGCCAGAGAATGCGGGCTTCCCCTCAAAATATGTGGGCTTCAAAGAGAAACAGATAATTGGAAACATAAGTGTGAGGGGAAAGCAGCAGGAACAATGCATGCCCCCCTTATCCTGCTGAAGTGAATCCACACCCAGAGCGTTATGGTGGTCCTCCGTGCCCTGACTGCCACTCTCCTGCTATAATGAGTGAAAAGTTAAATTGATTGAATAAAATGCAACACATAACATGAACATTTGAGTTGCAAACAAGCAAAATGAAAAAACAGTTGCTTTGCAGTTACATGAGAAGATCTCATGTCCGTATGCTAAATATGAAGCCACTGCCAGCAACAGGTTAGCTTAGCATAAAGACAGGAAACTAAGAACAGCTTGCCTTTGTCTTGAGTCATTCACGCACATTAGACCACTGAACCTTTTGTGCAAACCTGTTTATTCGCCCACAAAAACTGGAGCCTACATGTACTAGCGTTAGCTGTAAGCTAGCTATCAGGTGTGCCAACTGCTTACAGGTTGAAACAATATTTTTCGTATCACCTGGCCAGGGCTTTCATAATTCAGTTTAGTACTTACTGAACAAATGAAATACATTTTAATTGGTGAGCTTCAAAAGTGTTGGAAACCTGTTTTTTGTTATACCTTTGGGCAGAGCAAGGCTAGCTGTTTCAAGCTATGCTAGGCTAAGCTAACTTGCTGCAGTTTCAGCATCTTCTCATCAAACTCTCGTTAAGAATGTGATAAAGTACAATTTCTCAAAATGTCAACCTATTCCTTCAACATCCAATATTAGAGTTTGTCTATTGCTTCTTTAGTGGGCAACCAGGTTTGGAATCTGTGTTTTTGGATTAAATGTCTGCTGCACACCAGAATAGTTTGGACTTGTGGGGGTAAAGTGAAATGCTAATTTTGAAATCATTGCTAAAGCACATGATCAATAGCCTTTATTCTTGTTTGTGGTTTAAAGCGGCCTGCTTGCGTAGATCATACACTGTAAATCACTCCGATGTGCATGTTTTCTGTTTGCAGGAGCAGAGACTGACATGCGGCCTCGGGGGGTGCGTTCGAGTGCCTGTCAAGAGCACACAAACCTTCACAACCGTCTGGATGTGGTGGAGAAGGTGCCATTTCCGATAATAAAAATAATAAAAAAAACTCACATTCAGCACTCAGCAGTTTGAAACCATCAGGGCTCAGGATGTTTTTACCCCCTGGCGTTGTCAGCTTCATTTATTAAATATCAGCATTCTCTCCATCTTGCTCTGCCAAAAATATTCTTTCAAGGAACTAGTCGACAAAGACTGCCAAAACCACAGTCACTTACTGTGCAACCCCCCCTAATCCAAAAATGCTGATGTGTTAGTCCACATTCATCTGACAACAACCCACGCTTACTTTGACCTTACTTTTTTGGGCAACTGTAATAATCATATGCGATTGTACTATTCTTGGGTGACGACTCTATTATTCATACCACAACTTATTAATGCATTATTCTAGTGTCAACCACACACAACTATGTCTTCCGTCTGCTGCAGAAAGTGGAGGACACGGTTGAGAAGTTGGAGGCTGAGATGGCTGCTCTTCTGGACGCCATCGAAGCCCCAAAGTGGCGCTCCCTGTTGGACAAAGCGGGAAATACGGCAGTGGATATCTTGGGAGACCCAGGGCGAAAGGTCTTGAACTAACCAGACATCAATGGAGGAGGGATTCAAGGGGCCTCTTGAACTTGGACTTTAAAAGGATTCAAACTGTTTCCATGACCCAAAAAAGTGTTTATGCATTTACTGTATCTTTTTCAAAATGTTTTTATCTTAAAAGAGGAGGCACAAGGCCGAGCTTGTCTGCGTTTTTTTACTCTTACTAATCCCGTAACAGCATCATCTTCTTTTCCAGCCTTAGATTCAGTTCGCCCTGCAGTCAATAGTGGCACAGCTCATGTTTACAGTGCTATTCAAAGAGTTGAATTATCTTTACTCAGTCAATTTACACCCCTGCTCTCTGTCGCCCTCTACTGTCTGCAGACAAACTGTGCCTCTGATGCTATATTTGAGTAAGAATGACAAAGACACAGTGACACCAAACTACTGGAAGGAGATTTATTTCTTTATCAAAGCAGTTAAAGCAGCATTTCTTTTTTTTTTGAACACACGGAGCAGTTTCAGTTGGTACAGTAACAAGGCTTCTCACTGATTCCCCATTAAAAATCCTGCAGCACAATAACATTATGCAAAGCGGGACAGAGAGGAAAAGAGTGGCACAAATCACATCTTCTTCTTAATTGATTTGATTTCTCAACAGGGCACTGAGTTTCAAAGTGTATCCACAAAGTTAAGACATCTACATTATGGTACAACTCAAGAGCATCCATCGGGACATGGCTGAATAGGAGACATGCTGTTGCTGGTCAAATATCAGCACAAGGCCTAACATTAGAACACATTAAGAAACATGTCGGGAGGGTTTGCAAGCGCGGTCCAACGAGGAAATGATCACCGATACCAAGGAACAAATGTTTAAAAACTGTTGATTAGTATTGGAACTTAAGAGAAAAGCTACGCTTAAATGAACAAAATCTGTTATTATCCACTTGGAGATGATTAACATATAATTACACATCCACTTCAGGCCTATGTTGACTCTGGCGGTGTGTAGATTGGTTTAATGAGTCTTTCAAATGACTGAGCCTTTTTTCTTTTTTTTCTTCCCACGAATGGAGACATTCCGTGTTTTTAATAATGCAGCAAATTCTGTGTTGGGGTGAAGTGAAAACCTGCCCCAGTTCCAAATCATCTTTCTTTGCTGCAGTCAGTAACGCAACACTTAACGCACAACGGAGCATCACACACACACACACACACACACACACACACACACGAACGCTGACCTCATTCCACTCATCCAGCAAGGGTACGAGCCTGTGTAAGAAGCGTTAAGACAACCTACAGGATGCCAAAATGTACTGCATATCATCTAAAAATATCATGCCGTCCATATAACACTGGGATTATAAGATTTTGTACAGTTTAAAAGTTCACAAAACTCAATGTCCAGAAACGGTCACGCAGGCCATACTCTGATTTGGACTGTGTCTATAATTAGGTGAGCTGTTACCAAAAGCTTGTGCATGCACAAATCAGCCAGTAAGGCTCGAGCTCCAGGCTTTGGCAAAAACAGGCTTATACTGTAAAGGTACATGCAACAAACAAAAAACTAAAAGAAAAAGCGCAGGGCTCGAGACTATTCAATTCATCATTTATTTTGGCGGACTTGGAAGAGGCCACTTTGTATCCCTTTAAAGAAGCGTCTTAATCTAATCGTAGTGTATAGTGTTTGTAGAGAAATACCTCGACATTTTGGAAAATACATGTATTTGTGTTCTTTTTAAAAGAGTGAGATAAGAAGATGGAGGCCACTCTCGTGTCTGTGCTTTAAGTTCGAAGCTGTGGCTAGGAGGCGACTAGCCTAGCTTAGCAAAAAAATACTGGAAGCAGAGCGACCGCTGTGACCTACAAGACGAGGGTCACATGGCCGACGGGAGGAGCCAAGCTAGCACTGATGCTAGCAAGCTAATCTGCTGGTACATTGGTAGTAGGAACTATTATTACCAGTGCTGGCTATGTCACTTGAAATGTAATAATTACATATTGAAAATGTACTTACAACACTTTACTAACTACTAGACAGCATAAGTAATTAGCTACATTACTCGATACTCACTCAGCCGTGGTCCGTTAAAGGTGCCTTCCAACAACTCCATGCGACAGCTTAATGTCAGCTAGCTAGCTTAATGTTAGCCCTACTGACTGGCTATTCCTGAATGTGGATTGACCAGAAGCTAACATTAGCAAGCCAGCTAAGAACACACATGTTAATAATACAACTTTTCAATTAAAAAAAGAAAACAATATGCTGTGAAATGATTAATAGAATGGAGTTTGTTGTCATCTTAATTAAATAAGATGTATTTGGCTAGTCTTTTACTGGGCACCCCTCATAAATAAGACACTAGAACAGAAATCAGAAAGTAACTTGTAGGCTACTGAAGGCAATCGTTACTGTGGTTTTCAAAATAGTTGAGTTGTAGCCCAGCATTACTGTTTGTGCATGGACTAAACACAAGACAACGTGTTAATTAGATCTAGGGGGTCTAGCTGCTTTCCCCTGTTTCTGGTCTTTATGTGAAGCTACGCCAATCACCTCTCTGCTCCAGCTCTTAACGCACAGACATGACGGTGGTATCCTCCTCATGTCGGTCTTGTAAAAACAACCAATGGATATGCATATTCAGCGTTGCCAGATGGGAAATGTTAAACTATCGTAGCAGTGGCTTAAAATCATTTCGAGGAAAATGATCATAACCATAAGTTAGTTTTACGACTTTCTGATACACCTACGATGCAGTCTGACAATTTTTGTAATAGCCTACTATAACAAAAGGAAATCACAAGATAGCACGACAGGAAGAATATGTTCATATTTTTCCTGAAAATAAGCTAAGCTAATTGAATAGATGGCTGGAGAGAGGTCACATCAGAAGAGATGCGTAAACGGAGATGTAGGATTCATCTGGAAATGAATTGGAATGAGGCGGCACAAACAAACTGCTAATAGCGTCACGATATGGTTAAATCATGGTACATTATAGCACTATGGGTATTATTATTCGTACAGTCGGCAAAATGATCGTACAAATGCGATGGTTATCGTACATCTGGCAACGCTGGGCGCATTTCCCAAAATGTTTAACTGTTATGTTAAGGGCCCCCCCCCCCCACCTTACCTGAAATAGATACTTTATACATAATCACAATATGATTGTATAAATGATAGCATTTTCACTGGCAGAAGGAACATTGACTTTACGTTATACGGGGAAAAAGAGACAGACACTCACACATTCAAAGTTCCTTAGAAATGGTTATGCAAATGGTAGAAAAGCTTTGGCATATTTTGCCTACAAGTTGTGCCTGCACACTTGGAAAGAAGAGCAGAGCAAAGCAGTGTGAAGCTTCACGCAGCTCTTCCTTTAGTTTGTATGTCGAGTTCGCAGTCCCACATAAAACTGTGGTGAGTTTAAGTTACCTACACTGTATGCTATTTACATGGTTTTCATTGTATTAGGCCTTAGGGTTTTATGGTGAACCTTTGCTACAAGTTCCAAGGCGTTCAGACTGAGGTCTAACGGTGCCACCTTAAACGTACCACTATCACTGTGGCAGCAATAGACTAGCTCATCTATACAAATTTTTACAAATTTTGAAGTACCGACAGGGCACAGCTACAACATTTAAAGTACAGCCCCGGAACAAGCTCGACAGGGAGATGATCTTCGCGCTAACCAAAGCACTTAAAGAGCTGACGGCGTCTAGAGAAGTGAACGGAGCTTTCTAATAGATTCTTAAGAGACGTGACTGTTGGTGATTGGCATTTACAGTATTCCCCCAGAGTGTTTGAAGACTCTATGTGTCCACACAGAGCACGGGGGCGGGACTTAAACACTTCATCTTGGTAACCAAATGACAAGCGAATCCTTTCAATCTGATTGCTGTACTGATTTCCCATAACTGACAGTAGCTTATCATCCTAAAAAAAATAAAAGTTAGGAAAAAGAATAGCTGTCTAACACTTAAAGAGGAAAATCAAACTAACATTTTGGCTACAATGTGAGTAACGAATGCTGATTATCGTCAGCAGGCACCACTTTGAACAGGTAGACAACATGAACACTTACTGTAAATGTGTCTGCAACAGGAGGAAGGTTCTCCAGGAGATACAATTGTTCAGAATTAGGGCACACATTACATGAAACGGGGGGGTTGTTGAGTGAACTGAAGACACAGGCGACAACATAAAGTGAGTGCCTGCTGCGTGTGCTGAATAATTCACTCGCCCCCGTCAGATTTTGAACGGGGAAGCCGAGAGGGGAGGCGTCTCCGCCAAAACCACCAACCTCGCGGACCCTATTGCTCGGGATGTCATCATGCTCGTGAACGACACCTCCTAATAGGTAATACCTTATTTGTCATGCTATACCGTAACATTGCATAGAAGTTAGAGCTTACTCTAGGGCGGGGAAATCTCTGTGGAAATCTGCTTTAAGGATGCTACAGGAAAAAAAGAAAAAGGAGGGAAATGGTGGGAGCCATGTTGGGTCCTGCTGTGCGTCAGGCGCCCCCTTGTGTGCGTTCCCTCGGCTCCCGGCTACGACAGAGGACAGAGGAGAGAGTGTATCTATTGGCGTGGCGCAACAACACTGCAGGCCGGCCAGAGAGACCCGCCGCCGCCATCGTCAGCTGCGAGGCGGTGCGGTGCTAGCAGCTGCCGGGGGAGGAGCAGACCGAGCCGCACATGCTCAGTTTGGAGGAGGACTCGGGTTCCGGCTCAGGATCGGGTTCTGGCTCGGGCGCGTCGTCGTCAGTGGCCCCGACCTCCGCCTCTCCGTCGCCGTCCCCGCTGGCATCATCGCCCCCGGGCTCTGACTGACCCTCCTCCTGACGCCTTTTGAACCTGAGGCAGACGGACAAACAGACACAGAAACACATATTTAATCACACAACCTGCATGGATATGGATATGCATACCTCTGACTAATTGTAGTCTGGACGGGCAGAAAGAGACAGCGGACTTGAGTCTATTATATAGTACTAATTCCACAAATGATGCCCTCCATTATAAATAGAAGTAGATTGCCATTAATTAGAGCAAAAGGATATAATAAGATTGAAGGATTTCAGAAGCGCTGCAGTGGCACGACCCGGTCAATAATAAATGAGGCAATCATTTAGAGCAGCACGAGCCAATGTTCCTCCCTTTACATTGCAGAGAGGACACATATTCAATGATATATGAGATTATAGGCTGCATTTCTGACGTACTGCGTATATTGTCCTATAAAAGATTAAGATGCTTCGTATTGAGCCACAGCAAGGTGGGCTCTCAAAAGCCATCTTTGATTTACATATCAAAGTCCTTTCATTGAAGGAGCTCGGCTGTTATACAGGTTTGGAAAAAATATGCAATCCTCTCCTGTAAGAATATACCAGTAACTTTATCGAGACACACTGTATGCTCTATGGTTGTGTTTTTATACCTGACATAATCTATAGTTTGCTGTGTCTCTTCACATACTGCAGCTGATACCGATAAGCTCTTAACTCTCCTCATCTCCTGGCGGTGTATTCTGCACGGCACTGATGCCTCAGGGTACGCTCGGCGTTAGCTCGGCGTTAGCTCAGCGTTCAGCCACGCTTTAGTTGCCAGCTGCGGTTTAAACGCAGGTGGCATTGGAGGTAGATGTTTGCTTCAAACACTTCAACAATAAAAACATTGTTTGTCAACATGCTGAAAAGAAAGTTTTCTTTTCATAAATCGGACCATTATTTCTGGCAGGCCATAATAACAAAGTGCCTTACAATTAAGGAAAAGAGTAACAAAGAAGAGGAAATTCCAATACAACTGGAACGAAAATGAATATTATGATAGTTTTGTTTTATGTTCCCATGCACCCATAAAGACACTCTGGATTTGTTGGTGTAATGCTCGTAATATTTTGAATAAGTTTCCCTCTGTGTTGGTTCATCACTGTGGCTGAACCAACACAGAAAACGTGTGTTTTAGACGGTCGGCTGCTCTTACTTCTCTCGGTTGAAGATCATGAACTCTTGCTGCACCACTTCAAGGCACTCCTGTAGGTAGTCATTCTCCTGCAGGCGGTCAACAAAACAAAACATCATCATCTTCCACGTCAACCGTGTTATCGCTAAGAAATCTCTCGTCAACGTGACACAGTCGACTGCATGACCTCTGAGGTGAAAACCTCTTTTCTTCCTCAATTCCCTTTTCCTCCTTCGTTGCTCTTTTTTTTTCATGAATTGTTTGCGAGCCCTCCTCAAATTGGCCCGAGACAAAAATAGAAGCTCATATTTCCGAAAGCACTTGAGGCCATGACAACAGCAGCGAAGGTTTCATAATTTAATAATCTTGGTAATAACAGAGTATGGGCACACAAGAGCAGGCGCACACACACACACACACACACACACACACACACAGCAAGTCTCATAACCCTGCTATTGATGGAGGCACACACTCCTTGCACACGCTGATAAGCGATAACACGTGACGCACACACACAAACAACTGACATTAATAACACTGATGTCATGATGACTGTCAGATGGGAACGGGCTGCTGCTCATAAATACAGGGAGGATATCTCCCGTCTGTGGTAAATAACGTCTCAACCAAACAGAACAAGGCAGAGGAGTGAACGAGACTCCGGTGCCGTATATAATTCTGGTCCCAGTATACACAGGCGGGCCCAGGCTTTATCATTTAATAGTTATCGTTCGTCATTTTTAATGTAAAGGCGTCTTCAATTCTTTTGTTAAGAAACATTTACACCGGGGCACCCTACTGTAAATGTATTTTCCCCATTGTTCGGGATGGAACGGCGTAATCACTGTTGGGCCTGAAGCTAACCGATGTTTTCACCATCGGTTAATCTTTGAGGCTATAAAATGTCAGAGGCTAAAAGCAGTATATAGTTGCACTTAAAGAAATATGTCAACATTTTTGGAAACATCGCTTTCTCGCTGAGAGTTAGAGGGATACAACTCTCACGTCTTTACGGTAAATATTTAGTTGGAACCAGCAGCCAGCTGGCTACGACTAACTAGCTTAGCTTAGCATGAAGACTGAAAACTATGGGAAACAGCAAGCCTGGCTCCATCCGAATGTAACAACAATCCACCTATCTGCACCTCTAAAGGGCACCAATCCCTACTGGGTATCTTGCCATCTTTCGACCTGAAGTGTAAAAATGACAATGTACCATTTATTCAGTTCACTGAGCCGTTGCCAGGCAACCAGCCTGACTCCAGAAACTTGCTGCTCCCAGCCGAGAAATAGTCTGGCACATAACATAAAAAGCGAGTGTCGATTTCTAAATGGCTTTTAAAAAAAAAAAGACAGACATGAGAGTGGTATCGAAACTTTTCATCCAGCTCTTGCCGATAAAGCCCATCTCTCAAAATGTCTAACTATTTATTAAAGGTGCTTAATCCAAAATTCAGCACATTAATATAAATATGACTAATGCCAATATGATGACCCAAATATCTTAACTGCAGCCTTTAGAGGTGCTACATTCAAAATGAGCACATTAGTGTCGCCCCGTTTGTGCTGCCGGCTCAGCCGCCGCCATGTTGAGAGTCGTGTAGAGGCAGTCCCTCAATCATAGATGTGCTCTGAGTTTTGAACATAGCAGTTTTAAATTTCAAAATCGTTTAGATTTGGTACAATCATTTTGACTTGTATAATGACCTACTGTAATAATATTATTTGTCCCAAAACAGGAGCAAAATATACAGAATGACAGTGAAGGGGACAATGCTACTTACTTGCCTGTTTGGGAATACGTATGATCTGAAAAGATCCAACTAGTCAGCGTACTTACAGGACACCCGCAGCTAGCATGCTTGTACATTAAGTTTCTCTTTATATTCAGTTGCACAATTAGATATTGATTTTGTCTGCTGAGCTGAGAGATTCACAGCAGCCTAAGGAAAGAAAAGATGCTGTGCTTTGGCTCACTTCCAATCTAAAAATATGCCGTTTTGACAGGAACTGACAGACCGGAGACCGAGATAAACCTGAGCTGCATTGTTATCTGTGAGACCGGTCCTGCCTCCACTGTATCTATGAGTATCCCTCCTATGCGGCAGGTTATAATTTACTCAGACACGGCGCGTGTGCTGGTGTCCTCTCCATATAATCATTTGCTTTTAGCACTCGCGCACTGAAAATCACACTTACCTGATCTGCACAAGCCTCCAAAGATCAAATTAACAGTGAAACGGCAAATCATAGCATTATATAATGGGAAATAACCATTTTAAAATGTGACCGAAGCTATAAATAGCACATTCTGTCGTCAGAGCGAATAAAGGCATTTTGACAGATGCAGGGACATCTTGCATCCCACCTTCATCCTCGCAGCTCATACATGAATAAAATGCTTTTAATGCTGCAGCATTTCACCCTTTTATTGCCCGTATCTAAAGTCAAAATATGAAGATGGTGCAGATTAATCCAATCGGACAAATGTGACCTTTCATTTGAAATATTATTTTTAGAGACACACGTGCATGTACACACAGAGTGCTCCTGTAGTCCAGGACCCATGATGGATAGACATTTGTCTTTCTATTCCAAATCATGTCCGATTTGATGCATTTGTGCAGAGGACGACGTCACTCACAGACTGAGAATCCTTGCTGTTGTCACGAGACCGGTTCTTGGCCAGCCGCTTCTTCTTCTTGTGCAGGGGACGCGACTCCAGGATCATCTCTTCCAGCTCAAAGGTGGGGTCGCAGTGGAGGCGGCCTTTCTGCACAGGGAGGGAGGTGCGCAGGAGATAATTAGAAAATACAAACACTCACACACAGGATCATAAATCAGCTGAGTGCACAAATGCATATGTGCACACTGAGCTGAATAGCACACATGAATGCACTCCCATGCGGACAGAAATGTACTTTAAGTCTGTGTGTTCACACATTATAGTGGAGTACAACGAAGCGTCAGTTTGTTTTGCATTATTTAGTTGCTACACATGCTCATTACGATCAGCAAACGTTGAAGAAGTGCCAGTGTGTGCTTTTAAGTGTTGTATGTACGTATGTGTGTGTGCGTGTGTGTGTTGACATCTGATCGCCTCACATTAGGAACAAATCCGGCATCCAACTTCTTCTCGTACACGGCGTCCCAGTTGATGTCAGCGAGGTAGGGAGATGTCTGCATGTCCAACAGGCTGGAGAAACGATGCTCTGGGTTCACCGTCAGTAACTGGAAGGTAGGGACACACACACACACAGCAATGTCACCTTCCGAGTAGCAACATCACCTTTACAACTTCTAATCCTTCCTGGCCTCCCTGAGACTATCCTGTCATAAAAACTTTCAACCACCAATAAATTCAGATTGTAGATATTTTTATAGGCAATTCTATTCATTCTCTTTTCCCTGTTTATAAGCATGCACAAGAATATGGAGGACAAAGTGTTATATTAAATAAAAAAAAATAAAAAAAGACATTTTGTGTGCTGTTGTAATTCAACACAGTACACACCTTAAGTAACCCTTCCTAGCTTAACATAACTATGAATGCTACTTACCGTGCCAGCTAACTAGCTAGGCACAGTTTGCGAGCTTGGGTTATAATTAGCATGAAATTGAAGAGCCAGTGTTAGCCAGCTCCTGTTGCCTACTGCCACCACAGACACTTTTCTTTCTCAGAGGAACATCTTCAGAATGTAAACTCTGCAAAGATAACCAGTTAGCGATTATTTATTCTACAATTACAAATTTTTTAAATATCTGTATTATAATGCTGCCACAAAACACTAACAGGAATACTGTATAAATTAAAACCCTTACTGATGAAGTGACCAACAGGGTCCAACAGCCACTCATCAGGTTTCAATCAAAATTGCGATCAAGACAGATGAACGCCACACATGAGTGGAGTTACTTAGTCCAGAGAGGAAACAAAAAGTGGTTGTGTTTTTAATGGAATAGTACCATCTGTTTTATCTTCCTCCTCGGGGTAAACACTGGAAACAATAATGGGTTGTGGCTGCTGTTGTCATGTTAACTCTCATCCTGTGCTTTATTCTCTTCCTTTGATCACAGGTCGATTCGGTTTCCTCCTGCGGGGCCAGTTACGTCTGTCTCGGCGGAGTCCAGACACGGTAATCGATCAGCAGCAGAGCAGAAGAGACCAACGCTCCGTCCAGCACACTCAGTCACTCGGACACAGAGCACACATGCTCATGCCAACAACAACAACAAAGCCCTTTTAACAAGCAACGATCTTTCATACGGACTCTAAAATTGTGTCTTCAAATGACTTAAGAAAATACTGCCAGAGGGGAGGAGATGATTTGTTTCCAGCACCGTTCCACTTGTTGGAATGAGTAAGGTAGATTATTATTTCAGAGAAAAAAGTCTGAGTGAAGAACGTCGCTGAGCAAATTTATTTCCATTTGACGCAAAGGGAGTTATCTCATCCAACTGGCAGATTATCACTTGTAAAACAAGAACAGTCTGAGCGTCAATATGAGGTGAAATTACTTGTTAAGATGCACATTATCAGCAGCAATACACTGGTTGACACACACACAGACACACACACACACAGTCTCTTCTGTCAGCCACTTGCTCCGTTTCTGTGCTTCCATCCTTCAGATTCCCATCTGTCGTTTTTCCTCATCCTTTGCCCCGAGGGTCTCGGCTCATCCTCCCTCCCTCCCACCGGTCCCCCTACAGTACCTGCATCCTCTGTTCCTGTGGCTTCAGTGCTTTTTACTTCAACATGTAACCCAAAACCACCTCTATACCCCCTGCTCTCCCTCCCTCCTTTTTCCAGGGACGACCATCTGTGTCCAGGCAGAGGGGTCAGGGTTCAATTTATTTAAACAAAAATGCAACCTGAATTTCAGTAAATTAGGATATATATATATATATACCGTATTTTCCGCACTATAAGGCGCACTGGATTATAAGGCGCACCTTCAATGAATGGCCTATTTTAGAACTGTTTTTATATATAGGGCGCACCGGATTATAAGCTAAGAATAGAAGCTACTACAGTCAAACGTTTGACAGGGGTTGCGTTATGCATCCACTAGATGGAGCTGTGCTAAAGGGAATGTCAACAAAACAGTCAGATAAATCATTCAGTCAAACTTTATTGATTTTTGATTTCATTCACAATACGGTAACTTAAACGTAGAGGGGAACTTTTCCCTGATTCAGTAAACACGTAAAAGAAACAGTCTGATACCACTAAATCAAACGTTAGTGCATTCACAATATAGTAACTCTCGAAATTGTTCAACTTACGTATAAAACGTATAGAACTCAGCGTCGTAAGCGTGTCTCTTGAAAGGTGCCATTTTGGGGTCTTTATACACACAAGTGGTGTTGGACTAGGAGTAAGCACAGTACCGGTGTTTACCGCTATTACTTCGGCGACGCCCCTGACTACGGTAGCCGTAATGCTGCAAGCGGTGCGGCTTTGTAGTTTACCAGTCGTACTGAAACATTTTGACAGAGCGCCGTGTACAACCAGTATAGATCAACCAATTGATCCATATATAAGGCGCTCCGGATTACAAGGCGCACTGTCGTTTTTTGAGAAAATTAAAGGCTTTTAAGTGCGCCTTATAGTGCGGAAAATACGGTATATATATATATATATATATATATACACACACACACACACACACACACACACACACAGCAATATATATACTATATATATACTGCAATTTGAATTCCACATCCCTTCATGAATTTATTTTTCCTATTTATTTACAGTATGTTCAGGCACAGCCAGCCACATTTAAGACTCATTGACATGATTGTTGTCTTTGTTAATGAATTGATTAATCGTCTTGTACATAAAATATGAGCAAAAGGCTAATCGCAATTTCCTTAAGTCAAAGGTGATGACTTCAAATTGCTTGTTTTGTCAAACGAACAGTTTAAAATTCAAAGACATACAATTTACTATTACAGAAGACCAAGCGAAGCAACACAAGTTGGAGGTCGGGAAAGTTTGGGATTTGTGCTTCAATGTTTTTGTTTTTTTTCTGTCAATTGACTGATCGTTTTAGCTCTAAGATATTTTATGATATTCGGAGTAAAATAAGTCCGCTAACAACAAGCACATTTGTCAAATGAAAAAGATATCTTCCACAAATCAAGAATATAATATCATGAGTTAAGAGAGACTGACATGTTATATGTTCATGGGCATCTCTGGCTGTGTTCATTCAATCGAAGAAGTTCCTCTTAATCTAAGGGACATTCACCACTTGTATTGGTAAAATCAACGTCTTAATCACTCCCCTATCTCATGATACTTATCTCTCAGTGGGAACAGATTTCCAGGTTTTAAAATAATGATGTGATAAAACTATCTAAATGACAGAGCTGAACGTGACCGGTACCCCGCTGTGTCCGGCTTACCTTCCTCAGGAGGGAAACCAGGTCCTTGGGCCAGGCCGGGCTGTACTGGACACTGACTGTACTGAAGAGCTGAATCAGGGACTCCACAGAGTTACTGGCGTGGATGTCATAGGGCCTCTGGTGTGGAAACAGGATGAAAACAAAGAGGAAAAATACACAGGTGAGGATGAATGAATGCATGAATGAAGGCAAGTTCAGTTTTGCAACCCCACAAGATGAAGACTCCCCATGATGCCTCACCCATCCACGCAGCACTTCGAAGATCGTCACCCCTAGTGACCACCAGTCTACATCATTGGCGTAGCCCGTCCCCCCGCTTACGAAAGACTGGAAGATCTCTGGGGCTGAAAGCACAAACGGAGAACCACTTCTGGATCAGTAAAAAGCTTTTCAAACCGCTGCCTGTACATGTGGTAAAAACAAAAAAAAAAAAAAAAAAAAAAAGGAAAGAAAGTGTTCCTTTGCTAAATGTCAACAGAAATTGTTCATCTTCCCTCAGCTGTGCAGTGTAATCACAAGACAAGACGGGACATTTTTGCCTCAGCTTTTACACAAATAGACACGAGGTCTGTCATTTCTCTTTCATTTAATTTACACGAGTGCCTCTTTGGTGATGATGAGTAAGCAGAAATATGTTTAGAAAATCAGCAGTCTGGCACCTCCTCACAGCAGTATCTTATTTGAACACAGTGCATCTACCATAAGCTTGGCTCATGCTCACAGTTAACTATTCGCATTTTATCAATGTTGTTTTCTACCCAACAATGTCAGAAACAGTCTGATGTCTAGTGTAAAGGTACATCAATTCTCCTCTGCCAAGAATACACAGCAGCCTTATTCTTTTAACCTTCCTTTTGTCCAATAGGGACATTTATTTGCACAAAGCAGTCCGACATGAGGACATGAGTTGACACGGTGGTTGTGATGCGGCAGCAAAGTGAAGTTACCCATGTAGGGCTTGGTTCCAGCTAAGGCTGTGGCTCTCTCTCCATCCTTTATTATTGTTGCTATGTTGAAATCCGTGAGGTGAGCGTGACCTGAGAAGAAGCAACCACAAAATTCATCGATTAGAACAATATTTTAAAATTTATAAAAATGATATTTTTTATTTCTTAAGACATGTCTCTGAACACATACAAAGGACACATTTCAATGGAGAAGAAAAGAAAATGAAATGAATGACAACATCTGACATTTCAGTGGTTTTGTGTTCCCCTACTCCTCTGGCCTTGTTACCGTTGTGCCTCATTAGTAGCCTCCAGTGTCTCATTCCTGTCTGTGTACTTTGCACTTAAAAGGTTTTGGCTATCCACTTTTCCCTGATCACAAAGACACTTAGAAACAGGACTAAACACTTAGAGGTAGATATCAGAACTTCAACTGAATGGATGTTTTAGAAAAACGCATTACGGACATATTTATATATCTAACCTTTATCTGTTATAATTTAGATCTTTTGCAAGTAAACCTCATTACAGCATAAGAAATAAGAAAGTCGATAAGACACACAACCAGTCAAACACAGGCACAATCAAACAGCATCATTAACAAAAACATTTCTAAAGAGGTTCAAAATTACAAGTTAAAATCCATCCAATGGGATGAAATGTTGAAGTTTAGAAGTCCTTCGTCATTTATTCCATTTATATGGTGCAAAAAGGTGAAAGGCGGTCTTCCTGAGTATTTACTGGTGGGGTATCAAGACTTCTGAGGTCTGCTCTGATGTACAGTAGATTTTAACTGCAGAAGAGATGTAATATTGTGAGGCAGCTTTAGTAGGATACATTGATAAACTAAAACAATATAGTGATGGTGATAGGGAAGTGACACACACGGATAGAAGAAAGATACATTCTAAAACAGAATTACGGGTTCTTGAGAATAAAACACATTTTATCAGCATTCAGTACAAGTTTGAGGATGTCTGAAGAGCGTTAAAAGCATACTGTTATATTGACATGGCTTAAGGTGGAGAAGAGCCATGTACATACAAGATTGTATCGTCTGCATAGAAACGGATATCATAAGTCTGTGGTTCCCCCTTGGTTATTAAAATGGAGGTTGTTGTGAGACCATCAGCACTGTACAGATTGGCTGTGTTCTACCAGACATGTAATCATGAAACAAGTTATGATTAAGATATTTAAACGTTTATTTTCCCTTCCTATCCAGGTAGGCTAAAAATAAATGTGAAGTATTATTTAACCCATGTTTGCTGCACACACACACAGTCACACAAACGCACAACGCAAACAGTTGACATCCTTACCTTGCTCATCCAACAGGATATTGTCTGGCTTCACATCTCTAAAGGAGAAATGACAGACACACATATCAAAGAAGATTTACCACATAAAACATGTTAATACAGAAAAACAGCCTAATGTTATGTCATAAACGAGGCAAACAGGTCAGGTTTTCATCCAATGGTGGCTTAATTTTTAACAGAATTCATGTGCATATTCATTCACTACTGTAATAATAATATTACTAGTATGTGGCGACACGACACACCCCCATGAGATCATTTTGGGGATTAACATACTTAGCAGTGGCAGACTGCGAGACAGAAGGTTAAAATAATCAACCGGTTAGGTGAAATAATTACGAATGATGGCGAGTTACGTTAAGAGGAAAAATGCGGTAGCTCACATATATAATGCAACAAATATTTTGTGGTGTTTGGACTATTTATCAAATTTGCAGCATTTCCACGATATGTTTTTTTTTTTTGCCTGAATTATTCGATTTTTGCATATTTAACGTGCATGAAAATAGGTGGATGAAACTCATTGAATTGTTGCAATTAGTAAAAGTGTTTCAGATTCAGGGTGCTTGCTAAACGCCTAATTTGTTCCTGTAGCTCTTAATCCCAAACATACTCAAATCCTACAGTTTGTGGTCGGGTAGGAGAGGCTGGCATTAGATATGTACGGTATGTGTGGACGTGAAAGCCTGCAGGAGGTGTTTATAGGCTCGTGCATGTGCGAATTATCGTACATGTTGGTGCAACAGGGGGAGAACACTTTCATTTCCTGCGTTTCAAACACAGACCATCACCAATCCCCCTGGAGGCTCTCGCAGGTTTGTCTGCACATGCTTATTACACCGGGCAACCCATGCAACGGAAGGACACATCCGGGCGCGAGTGCGCACACACGCACACACACACACACACACACATCTGGACATTTCCCAGTCCCTGCAAGCTCTCCACAGGCAATTAACAGAGCGCACACAGCTTATTTAATTATGCCAACGCGTCACGCTGGTGTGGAGAATACACACACACGGTCCGCAGAGAGTGTCTACACTTCCCGTAGGACGCATTTGCTCGCCGTGGCTGGCTATGCAACACTAAACTGACGCTAATATCATCTGCCAAAATTCTTGGAGGGGAGTGGTGGAGGTGGTGGAGATGGTGGTGGTGGAGGTGGTGGAGATGGTGGTGGTGGTGGTGGTGGTGGTGGTGGGGGGGGGGGGGGGGGTCTGATCCAGCACTACAAGGCTGAAGGGAAATGCTTACAAATGGAAATGCTTACAAGTTCACAGGAGGAAGCCCGATCGGAGTGCCAGCCACAGCACCATGCCATTTTGTTTGATGTACAAAAAATTCACTTAACGTTTCACTCATTTCGCAGCGAGCACGGAAACACCGATCCAACATGAAACGGCATGAAAGTGAATTCTCATTTTGTACAGGAAGAAATCCCCCCCCCCCCCCACCCCCCATGTGTGAGCAGCTTCAATATGTTGAGTGCACGATGAAGACACATGAAGCAGCTCGGTGGTCTGCGCAGAGAGGAGGAGAGGGACTCTCTCCACTTTTACTTCCCTTCTTCTCATCGGACCAGTTTTACCTCCTTGGGCACGGTGGCAGCTGACTGTTGCTAGGAGACCGGAGACCCTCTCTTCCTTCAGTTGGTGCAACTAAATAATTGTATAGTATTCTCCTGTCAAAAACTTACAGGGTGGAACAAAATTGTAGAGCTGGGGACGGCCACGGATACCCAGGGATTGGATTACGGCTCTGGGAGCGGACACAATTGTGTCAAAGGCAGAACAGTCGATGTCAAGGAGAGGGTGGAAAAACATTGGGATAAAAAAAAAAAAAGAAGCAGAACCTGTCACCTAATACTAATGGCAGTTCTGAAGTCCTTCGCCTTTTCCAACTAGACTAGGAAAAAGAAAGAGACACCTGACGTGTCGTGAAACGTGGGAGAGTGACGGACCCTTTAAAATTAGCGTCACGCGCGCTTGTGATGTTACATCATGCATGTGGAACACAGGAGAGTTATGAGATGACAGGTGACTCACATGCAGGTGGACACAAACAAACAGCTTCCTGCCGATACACCTAGTCGAGAATATGTAGGACGAAGTGCACATGTAAAAATGTGTTTTTATGAATCTGGATTACTTTGCTTTTAATTAGAGGAATCCTTTTTTGTCAGAGAAGAACATTTATACAGCCAACTATCAATGAGTCTTGATGGAGTCTTGTCGTCGCAACCAGTGTAACGCTCATAGCCTCTGCTGCTCGCCTGCTCACCCACTCCTGCTCCCGTGATCACATCACCCCTGTTCTCCAGAATCTCCACTGGCTCCTCGTCCCAGAACGGATCTAATACAAAGTCCTTCTCACTCATAAAGCCCTCCACAATCAGGCCCCCTCCTGCCTCACCGACCTGCTCCACCACCACACTCCATCCCGTCGGCTCCGCTCCTCTGATGCCAACCTCCTGTCTCCTCCACTCAGGACCAAGCACCGGACACTTCTCCATAGCTGCCCCCTCCCTCTTTCCCCAAACACATCCGGGACCGCACTGACCTTTCCATGTTCGAATCACAAATCAAAACCAACCTTTTCAGAACTGCTTTTACTGTGTGACGAATGTGTGTTCTATGTTTGTATAGCTTTTTAATGATGATCTTAATGTTTGCAAAGTGTCTTTGAGAATTTTGAAAAGCGCTACATAAATAAATTATAAAATTATTATTATTATAGCCGAGATATAGTTCAGCAACAAGTTCAAGTTTTTTGTTTCTACACTTTTGTCCCGGATTTAGGACGGATTAGACAAAGAAGAGATAACATACTAATGAATGAGTTCTAGAGGTGCTGGTGGGAGTATTTTCTACCTTTGAGTAAAAGAGAGTCGGGCTAGCCGTTTCCCCCCCGGTTACCGACATTATGCTAAGCTAAGATGGCTCCAGTTTTATAGTTAACCCTCAGCCAAAAAGTGAAAATTTCCCAAAGTATTCCTTTTAACAATTATGCTTTGCTTCTTCTTATTATTTACAATTTCTTCTTTTTACTATTTGTCTTTATTCTGTCAAACACAAATGTGTTCTGATGAACACATTTGCAGGCATAGTGCGTAATAAGTTATGTTTTTATTGTTACCATGCTAAACGTGTAAGTACATCAGATAACACAGGTATGCTTCACTGTCACACAGACAGACACACATGCACACAGTCGTGTTTTAATGCCTTTTGGGGACATTACATTGACTTCCATTCATTTCCTGGAGACTTAGACTAACCCTAACCATAACCAGCCTCATCCTAATCCTAACCCTAATCTTAACCTAAACCGAACATTAATTTAATCCTAACCTTACCCTAATCTTAAACCAAGTCTCCACCACTAAAATGATGGGGATGTGCATTTTGTTCCCCATTTTGCCTTCAAAAGGAAGGCGAGTCCTCACAATGTGACTGTGTCATAGGATTTATGTCCCCACAAGTCGGGTAAAACCCAAACACACACGCACACGCACACACACACACACACACACACACACACACACACACACACACACACACAGCAACAGCACACAGTTGTTTGAAGGAAGAAGTGCAGCCCAAATGAGGTTTGGAACAAGGTTCAAACCGTTCTTCAGCCATCTGTGGCTCTAAATCTGCAGTCCGCAGGGATCCGGCTCTTTCACTTACTGGACTGCACAGACACAAACTGCTGCGCTCAGCATATTTGGACAAAGAGCCGCGGACAGCTCGTCCCACCCTGGTTGAAGATGATGGATGGTAACAATTACGGGAACAAACATTAGGGCTATCTTTATACATAGAAAGTAACGGAAATAAAAACAGGGATGCCCGAGTGCCGAGATAAGGTAATACCTGCAGCCAACACCGGGACTCGATGAAAAAGCCTTCAGACAGAGGGCTTGCATTGGCTCCCTTTGCCTGTTTGTTATATTTCTCAGTCTCATTTTTAACCTCTAGATAGAAGACAACAAACACAGTCATCCGTACACTGTAAATCGTGGCGAGTAGGTTAAAATGGTGCTAAATAATCTATATAAAATATAGAGGGCACCTGGTCCAGAAATAAAAGCATGACTAACCCTTTCTACTACCCGTTCTGAAGCTGCAGGGCACCGTGCACTTCTCTGGATCAATAATGGAGTGTCATCTGAGCGGACGTGATCCTAACCGGTGAGGTCGAAACAGGCGAGATTGGTTAAGAGGACACGATGAAGGTGGGTATAAATATATATATACAGTATATACTTGAGTCATGTTTACAACCTGAAGAACTGCACATAGAGCTAGTTAGAAAGGCACTGTGACCTTGTGGTTCTGAATGCTTACACAAAGGTAGAAGCTTAGTGTCGTGTTCTCTCTGGAATAGAGAGGAGAGAGAACGCACTTGCGCGAGTGACGGTGTAAAGAAAAGACCCTTGACGTTTCCCTTGAATTCATTTTGGAGTTGATACATTCATAAATCACCCATAATAACGCTGCGAGCTGGAGAAGCAGAACACACTGAAGGAAACCTCTTGAATACTAAAAGTTAGAGACAAGACCTTGAGTTGATATTCAGAGTGCTTTGAACTGAAACTGAGGTTTAGTACATTTGATGAAACAAAGCATAATGATGTAATGGCCTGACACTGGTGCTTTGGGTGTGTATCTGGAAAGTGCTGCGAGTGGTACTTTAATTGGGTTATTTGAGTGTAATGTGTCCGTCTCGCTCTGATCTGCTGTTTTGAAGATTTAACCAAAACCCAGAAAACAAGACGTCTGGTCCCACATTGGGTGTGTCATTGTATTCGATGTGCGAGTCATTTTATTCAAAGTGAAACACCAGGTACCTAAAAGAGGCCATGCTAGTAGGGCCGTCGTGATATCAGATTTTCCCTGCACGATTACAGTCACCACAAGAATCTGTGATGACAATATTATCGCGATATCTAAAGACAATTTGAAAACAGAAGAATAATGCTCAGTTTAATTGATCTTTAACTTTCTTTACTGTGCATTTTGTCTCTTTTTTTGGCAAATGGATTACACGCAAAATATGAGTGTCGGGAGGTGGAGAGAGAGTCGGTAACCATAACTGTACAAAAGCGTGGTTATTATTCACAACAACATATGTGATATCAATATTCCATTTTTAAAATGTAACGGTTGTCGACAGTACCGGTATGTTGCAACATGCTACCTTGACTTTTGCCTCTGAAACGTATGATTGTGAGAGAATTGTTGGCATTACATAGCAAACAGTTGTTTGCAGATGGAGTTGGTGAACATTATGGAGGGAGTTTTGGAGTTTCAGGGAATGCTGATGTTCAAAACAGTTCCAAAGCAAATGATCGAACTTTCCACATGTCCGTGTTTGAAATTATACAGTTTTTAAAAATGGCCGTCACTTTTCTCTCTAGGTAGTCAACAGTAAAGACAGGAAAGACTAGAGAAAGATATGTTTTTTTGAATATGTATATATATCCGCAAAAGGGCATGGAAGCTGTGAGAGACCTTTGAATTGAGGAAATTAAAAAAAGATGAAGGCGTACCTATGGATGATGTGCTGGTTCTGCAGGTAGTCGAGCGCCAGTGTCATCTCACAGAGGTAGAGTTTGACAGCGTCCTCACTGAACTGGACGCTCTGTTGCAGGTGGTAGCGCAGATCTCCTCCCAGCAGGAGGTCCACCACCATGAACATGTCCTCCTCGTCCTGGAAGGAGTACCTGGGACCAGGGGGGGGAGACACGGCGCTCACTCACTGTCCAGTGTGGAAAGAAAACATGTGGCAAGACTGAGCACACAAACACATAGTGTATAGGGGCTTGTGTGCTCTAGCAAGCAGTACACAAAGTACGTTACGCGTTAAAACATCTGCAGACACACATGCATGTTTGTAGAAACGAGGACAAAGGCCATGCCTACGAGCAACCGCAGTAAAACACGACATTCATGCATCTGTCTCTGTCTCGTACCTAAATACCTTCGTATCAGCAACCTTTCTGCATAACGCATAGTTATATATGTCAATGTATGCTCGAGATGGTTTCTGCATGGGTGTGCACTTCCTAGCAGGCTCTGAACACGCACAATGGACGGATTGTTATCCTGACATAATACCACGTCGTTGAATGAAATGTGAAACTGGAAGAAAGTGGTTGTCGAGTTAAATCTTGACAACAGCCCATCATTGCATGAAGCGACTTAATTCAAAGAACTGCTCGTGGTCCGCTAAACATTTTTGTCAATCAGGCTTAGTAATCATGCGTGTCAAATTAAAACACACCCGCTCAGTGATCTGGGTGGGGATTTGTAACACTCCACTCCACAATTTTTGCCCCCGACACTGAACAAAAACATTAAGCCACACGGGTGAACAAACCGCTTTTCTTTTTGTAACGGAATCTAATTTTTTCATCTAAGAAAAAGAGCAGAATAATATCTTAATAGGCCCCCCGTGTCAATTTACACCGAAGGGAAAACAAACCCAGCCTCATTGGTTTCTTCTATTAAACTCGGCTTTAATGTTGTCGCTGCTGAGACAATCCTTTATTTTCCCATTAAAGCTCCGATACTGTGCCAATATTACTTCTTTTTTTTTTATAGCTGCGGGTTCCCTCCGTGCGTCTTCAGGCTTGGCCCCGAACACTCTGGGAGATTGTGATTAGACCTATTCAGGTGCCTGCCTCTCTATAAGTAAGAAATGGAGCCTGTGTTTGCTGCAGAGAGAAAATCATTTCATCTCTTCCACGGATTGGCAGTTTTGCCACAGAAGAAAAAAACAAAAAACCCATTTGCAGAACTGTTGGGTCTTTGTTCTTCTCCTAAAACACTGCGTAGATTAATTGATGAAAGGGGCTTCCACTTTCATGTGATGGGATAGATAATGGCCGGAAAGCACACTCTACCGACTCTGCGAACACAAAGAGAACACATCTAGCTTTGTATTACCATCAAAAAGGTTTCTGAACAAGATTCCCACATTTCCTCGTTCTCATTACACACCCTGCCACCACTATGGTAAGCATGCACTCAATAGGAAATGACAGAAGAGCCACCTACATCATGGCACAGTAAACCAACCTGCCCCTTCAAAGATCAGCCTCACTATTAAAACACAGAGCAGTCTCGGCAGATGGCCGGCCCCGGGATGTTGTTGCCGTTGGCAGGGATTCCTCACCGTCACCTTTTTATCACCTCATTGTCACAGTCTGATTCACAGTATCCAGTTGACGGATGAGCTTCCTCTGAGGTGAACCCTCGCTATCTCAGTGTTCCACAAAAACGGCCTTCCCAATCCGCAGCCGGAATATCTGGGCTCATGAGAGAAAGACCGCGGCGGCTCGGTCCGATTGTCAATTCTTTCCCCGCCTTCGCTGAGGTGACAAGGAGATGTCAGATATGGGCCGACAACCGGAGCAAATGAAAGCCAAGCCACAGCGCCGACAGGCCTCGTCACCTTTAAGACTCTCGCCAAGGATGGGACAGGGACGGAACACAAACTATTTTATTCCCCATTTTTTGGGAACACTTTGCTTTAAATAAACAAAGTAAAGTCCACCAGTTTGACAGCCCGAAAAAATCAAATAAAGGACTCCTCTGCTGTCTGGGAGTGGAAAGGAATACTGGTTAAACAACAAAAGGAAAGCAAAGTGACGAGTACAGTATCAGTTGAAGTGCAGGATAATTACCCCTTCCATCTGTTTTCTGGCACTTATTCATGTCTTGGGGTCAGGTGAAAAGGGTCAGTACACTTCAGACAATTTCTGCAACTTTCCCAAAGCGAAAATCTGACGCCCACTCCACGTAGCAGTTGCCCAGATGTGCCAAAGTATTTCTCTCAAGCTCCCTTTTTTACTTCTTCAAGTGACTACTTCAACCACTTTTCGTATGTGTACAATCAAGTGCCACACCATGGGTAACTTTGAGGGGATGGAAGGTCAGGCGACACCTTGTATGAACTAGTCAGTTTCTAGCATCCTCCAGCCTTAAGCAAAGTAGTCCAGCTTACTTGCTCCCTTTCCACTTACTCCAGCATGTTCCAGGGGGATCCAGTGCTTTTTCTAGGACAGATAAGATATACAATGTGTCCAGCATAACTCAGGGTCTACTATTGAGTCTACTCCCAGATGGACATACCCGGAATACCTTTTCAAGGACGTGGAGGTGTCCAAGAGGCAGAGGCCTGAACCACCTCAGCTCAGCCCCTCTCAAGGCGATGAGCATAGACTCTCCTCCCAGCTCCCTCCAGATGTCTGAGCTCCTCACCCCGTTTCTAATGCTGAGCCCAGCCACCCTACGAAGGAAGCTCCTTTCCGATGCTTGTATCTGCAGTCTCATTCTTTTGGTCACTACCATAAGCTCATGACCAGAGGTGAGGGTCATAACATAGATGAACTGGTAAATCAAGCGCTTTACCTTCTGACTCAGCTCCCACTTCATCACAACAGTCCAGCACTGAACCGCCTGTCCATCTCACGCTCCATTTTAACCTCACTCCTGAACAAGACCCAGAGAACTTCCTCGCTTGGGGCATCGATTCACTCCCAACCCGTAGGGCACAATCCACCGTTTTCCTACAGATAACCATGGCCTCAGACCTAGAGGTACTGACCCCCCCAGTGTGCGCTGGAGGTCAGGGAGGACATCGTGAACTAGCTAAAGTTAGCTAGTACTAAGTAGCATGCATCAGTCCATCTGCTTGCTCTTTAGTTTTGCTCCAACACACCATGCAAGATGCAGCCTTGAGCAGAGGTAAGTCCAATACTCACACTCCTTTCAGTTCTGTTTGTTTCCAACAGCTCCTGAGGGAAATACTTTATTCTTAGGCTGCTAAATGCTTCATTATGTTCACCGGCTAGTCGTTTCTCTGTCTGCTGTTTGATGCAGAGGAAAGGTAGCGTTCAGTGGGTTCATCAGCACTTTTTTGTTGAAACAGGAAAGACGATCACTATGAGCAAAACGTTTCACATTACACAGTCATTTCATCTTTTGCCAATATAAAATGTACATCTATGGAATAGAGCTGCACACGCTGGGACACAAATGGGTCATGGGTTAAAATAATGTTTTACCACAAATCTTATTTTATTGCCCTATACTCCTCCTCAGACTGAAATATTAGCACAATTGCCGGTCAAACCCTTGAGTGTGAGTGAATGCCTGGCAGTTTTCTGGCGCCTGGGGGGGAGCTGTTATTGTCCAAAACCAGGAGGAGGCCATGTGGAAAAGCCAGGACGGGACTAGGCTGCGACAGTCACAGCAACTAAGAGAGGAAGGTTAGCCGGCTGGAAGGAGTACAAGGAACAGGCTGAAATAATCAGGCCACAATGACAAATGAGCACAGGGAGGCAGGGAGGAGAGAGGGAAAGCGGAAGAGGAGAATAGTTTTGAGGGAAAAAGCGACGGGGAAACAAGAGCTCGTGATTCTGTTGGCTCCGGTTGGTCTGCAAAGTTTCAATGGCCTACATAAAGTTGATGATAGAGATGGGCTGGCTGGAACTGGCTGCACGGCTCAATCACAAGACACTGCTCCTCTGAGGATTCCGGCAACAATGGAGTGAGTGAACGCTGACTCTCCTCTCAGCGGCCGTAAAGGTCCTCCACTGGCCTGCTTTCACAAGGTGCACTTTCAAAGCCACGTCCTACAAAAAAAGTTCTTCTCTAAAAAGGAGAAGTTTTGGTTAAAGTCTTTCAAGGCTGCAAATCCAGGGCAAAATAATCTGGGGATGCACAATGCTATATTAGAGAAACAGACTCCTGTGCTTTTTGGAAATGATCCCATTTTTTATGAGGATGATTTAAGACTAAGCCCCCTCACAGGGCTTGTTATAACTGCTGACAGGCCTCGTATAGAGGATCATTTGCTCCACAGTCTCCGAAGGCCTTGTTCCATGCAGGCCTGAAATCAATATCCCTAATGGAGGCTGAACAGGACACGGCACATCCATCCTCACCACTCCTCTTGCCCGCTGTCCAACTCTGATGAAGGGATGGACAGTAAGAAGAAAGCCATATACCACTCCTGACTCAGAAACCTTTAAAATCCCAAGGGACTGTGTTTAAAGCTCCGACTGTTTGACGACAGCCGCTGCAACAACCCTAGCTACCCTCGTCGCTCTGCGCCTCGTTTGTTTCCGACATCACTGTGGCAGCGTCCATTTGGTCATGATTCACTGCTGCTTTGCGGGGCCATCGGGGAGAACGGGAGATGCTGTTTGAGAGTGATCTGTTGTGATGTAACGCCTAAGGCGAAACCTAGCTTTTATAATGATGTACTATACTCCATAGACCAGGGGATCACCGTCTTTGCTACGCCGTTTGAATGCTGGTTATTCCCCGCTTCTGGGTGGGGGGGGACGTGACCCCTTGCATTTCGAGGGTTTCAAACACATGCACACGTGTCACAAATCCTTACAAGAACTTGTGTGGATTCGGTGTGTGCAGCAGATTCTTCCTCCTTCCGAGGTAATTCACTCAGTGTACCCTCGACTCCTACACATCATATCTATGCAGCGAGGGAATGGTCGCAGCAATTATTGTGGGCTGCAAACTTGACATCCGCCCAGCTTAAGGCAGCCTTTACCCGGCTGATGGGATTTCAGTGTGGGCTTTCACAAGGTTGCCTCCTAATGAATTTTCTCTGAAGCTACGGACGGAGCTGTTCAAAAGCACGGCGGAATTCAGGCCGTCTCACTGAAAGCAAAAAACCTCGCTTCGAGACAGAGAGTGTGTCTTTGTGTGAGAGCTGGAGGAAAACCTTATCAATCCTCTTAGTCTCCACAACTCTTTTTTTTTTTGACAAAACAAATCAATGCCAAATACTTCCATAGCGCTTCCATTTTGTGCAACCCCCCCCCCTTATCTCTCTCCTCTCTCTCTGTGTGATTGCAGGAATCATTACTTTCTCTGACAGCTGTTTGGTGCGTTTTCCCGCATTCTCTTTGACTCTGGCTGAGTGTCTCTTTGGCTCCCTCCTGGCACTCTATCAATAAAAAAAATACTCTTATGAAGCTTTATCAAAGCTGGCGTTTCTCGTGACTGCATTTCTGTTGTTGTTGTTATTGTTGTTGTTTGCCATTGAGAGTAGACAGTTCCCAAATTCCCCAGCTGGTCGATCGCACACCCATTAATAATACGCTGAGGTGCCAAATTGCCGAGCGCCAGGAATCGTAATGATCTGTTTGACAAGCCTATGGATACTGGCAACTCTCCGATCTGCAGGGAATTGGTTAAACAACATACCCACGCGCTGAACCAATTAGGTACCTCGTTGTTATACAGTAAGGGGAGCCGATGGGAAGATGAAGCGGCGCTCTCTCCAGTCCTATCTCATTACCTGCCCGGGTGAGACGTTGTCTCAAGCTGCAGCTAAATGAAGCAGACAGCTTATGCGATGCATACAGGTGCAACGCGTAACAATGCTGTCTTGTACAGACGCTCACGGAGTGTCGGAGTAAACTTACCGTAGACTCAAGCTATAAATTGATATTCCTTTATGTCTCACTGTGTTCCCTTCTCTTCTAGCACATCTTCCCTTCAATTATACATTTTTGTGCCGCGAGAAAGCTCAACGCGGGAAGGCTTTAGTGCCAGAAGATGATCCTCAGAGCAGTCCTGTGTGAATCCCTTCACTCGCTTAGGATGGAACCAATCCAAACTGTATTTTCGATTCCCCTGGTTTGCACAATGAGGGTGGGGGGGGGGTGGTGGACCAAAAATGGTATTCCAGACACACATTGTCAGTGTCCCTGGTGGCTTTGCGTGGGACCAGTCTGGCGATACTATCGCTAACATCAACGTCAACACAGCTGCTCAAGTTTCTGGGTCCGTGGGCCCGGCGACGACAGATTCATAAAGTAACAGCTGCATCCAGGCACTCTCACACAGCTGTTTTTACGACGCCGTCCCTCTCTTGTCACACAATCTGACGGCGGTGACGACGGATGGTCCTTTTGCCTTCCACTATAACGCTTTGTTCGGATTTGACAGCTTCCCTATGCTTTTCAAGAGGGCCAGCCAAATACAAGCAGGCGAGGTCTGAGCACCACGGGGGAGGGGAAACACTGCTGTTCAGAAAAGCCGTCAAAAGGCTATTTCATCCCAATGACAAATACTAGACTTGCGAGTATAAGTGGATCCAAGCACCTCGCGTGATTCAGAAACGAAGGCTTGTCAAATCGGGAAGCCAAGAGCATTGCGGAAAAAGGCGGCAAAGTTCTTGTAGTTTTAAGGTTGTGGTTTAACACACATTTGTTTTCATACTTGGGAAAGCTCAAATGGTTAAAACCCTAACTCTCTTCATGTACCTCTAGTGGTATCAAGCCTTGCAGATAGCTTTGGTTTCATTTCTGTCACCATCCGATACAATGGAAGTGAATGGAATTTTGTTTGTGGCGATCAAAGCATTGATATAATATATTTTTAAAAATCAACAGCAATGTCTCCATCCAGAAACAATGTCCTTGTCACTGTATTGTTAATATTAGGCCAGGAATTTGTAACACACTGGCCATAAGTGGAAAATGAGCTTATTAGCTAACTCTGGCACATTTATACTGAGGTGGAAACTGAAATGTTGATTAATGTGCAATGGCAGATAAATACATATTCAAAAGTCCTCACGACTCAAAGGATTTGTCACTACAAACCATCGACAGTTTGTACGGTGGATTATCGGGAGCAACTAAGACCAATTCCAATGCTGTGAGCACCAGCAAAATCCAATCCCCCTCTGTTGTGTTGGAGCGGAGGCAGGAATCTCCAATCGTTAATAACACAAAAACTCTGCATGTATGAATATCACGACTGCTACATCAGATGTTTTTTTGTGTAATCAGTGTAAACTGAACCTTTCATGTGTATGGCATTACCTCATTGTTGTACTTGTAGATGTAAATGAGAATGTGGATTATCAAACGCAACAGAGACTGTTTGCCGAGTACGTGAGCGTCACACCTCGTCTTTTCTATTTGCGAGTTGTAAAACTTCTCGTTCCCACGTAGCCGCGGTGATACAGTTCCGCATCTTTGTCACTAATGGGAATTGTAAATAGTGCTGGATGGTGCAGAGTATGAGAGAGAAAGAGCAGAGCAACACATGGGAAACTAGAACACAGAAGGCTTTGGCAGCCATACACTCCTGCAGGGAATTATACTATAAAAAAATACACAGGCCTACTACTGTACGCTCATTAAAATGCCCTCAGTTTGTTCCAGTAGAAAGACTTCTCCAGCAGGCAACAATATCCCGCAGATTACACTTAAACCTTACAACGACTTGATGGGGGGGAAAAGAGCTCAACTTTGTCTTGGTTCATCTACTCGCCATCTGCGCAGAACCAATCCATCACGGAACGTGCGAAAAACAAAAAATATTCCTCCAGCAATTGCTCAGAGAAGACAGGATACGTGCAATATCATTCTACCAATTACAGTAGGAGTAAAGTGCTTTGTGTAATATGCCGTGAATGCCGTGCCAGGTCCCCAATTACATTTAGAAATGTGTCCCGCTCGGAGATGAACGTTGAATAATGAAAGCAGCCTCCATTCACCCACATATCAGACTCCAGGGAAGAGTAAGGTCATTTCAAACCAGAGTAATTATCAAATGTGTGTGCTTCACGGGCCCAGAGTCAAAATTAATATCCAGAAATATATCTCCGCTGTGTAAATTGTTTCTTAAAGTTAACAGCCGTTGGTTTCAGGAGGAAAATTTGCCTCAAGCCTTAATGAATCGGAGAATTTTTGTTTTTCCACAAAGTGCCAAATGCAGAACTTAAAGTGCATGCAACACTAGGAGCAGAATATTCACAAAGAGTGCATCGATTTTAGGGCTGCGGCGGATTTTAGAGCGAGCACGCACTTGTATATGCAATAAATATACAAAATGCACAGACAGACACAGCAGGAGACCGACACAGGCAGCGCAGACCACATAGAAAGTGTAAAAACAGAGAATAGTCACCAGAGATTTACTAAAAAAACATGTTCAATTTCCTGTAGGATCTCAAGCTCTCTAAAGACGTTTCGGACCTCATCTCTCTCGATGCACTGCTGTTTGTTCATGTACTTCATGGCGTACATCTTCTCGGTGTCCTTCTTTTGCACAATGCATACCTGCAGGGAAGGACAGAGGGGAGAAAAAGAGGCGAAAGAGAGACAAATAAGCATATTAGTACAAGATAAACATGTATTCAGACAGTTTGCGTGCCAAATCTTCATGTGAATTTATAAAAATAACAACAGAGTGCTAATTGCTGCATTGTACTGGCAGGGAAAGATAATCACATCACTGCTAAAGGTGCCGGGTGCCAAGTTTCGGTTAAACAAATGCGGCCACGCTGCTATGCAAATGAATGTTTTCAAAATGGCCCACGGCATCTTTCAGCTGTCGATTAATGCGATTGTTGAGCTACATGCCCCTGTACCCATGCAGGGAAAACGCTGACACGCTGAGCAACTCCGGAGAACTTCATTCAGAAGTTTGTGGCAGTGACCAACTTCCAAGCAAGATCCCCTCATTATTTATTCATCACAAGTTCTGTGGCTTTGTCAGGAAGTGGCAGTGAAAGGTCAGCATCGGGATGGGACTCCGGAGGGGTCAGAGTCATTACAGTAACATTACTGTGGCAACCGCGGTCATTAAGCGGATCATGTGTCGGCTGAAAAAAAAAACAAAAAAAAAAACCTGCCCTGCAGACAAATATGGAAATGAATCTTCACTCATTTTGTTTTTGATGTTACCTTAAGACCAGATACTTTTAATACAAATTTTCGTTGTACTCGTTGCCAACCAACGGAGGTTGGATTTGTTAGGTTCAGGCATGAGGGGTGTGGGTTAGTCTAGGTAAAAATATCAGGGTAAGCCAATCGGAGGCAGAGTAGGGCGGGTCATGCCTTCCCCATCCTAGGAAAAAAGTAACACTGTGTGTCTGATGTCGTGAGTCCAAATTGCACCGACTTCAACACTGTGTGCCGTGGATTCTCAGCAATACATCCCCCGAGGGTGAAGTAGATCGGATGAACGGTTCTCGAGATATGCAAAGTACACACACACACCTACAGAGGTTCCTTGCTTGGCAGTTAGATTAGATGGATGAAAAGATGAAATATAGAAGGATAGGGCAGGTTTGGATTGATACAAAACTGCTAAATGTATGTCGAGGGGGTTATTGGCTCTAAAAGGTGATTGCTTTATGGCCGGTTTGGAGAGGAGGGAACGAACGCAGCAACCAATAATCTCTCTCAGCATTTGACATTTGTATCAAAATGGGAGTTGAAAAATATCAGAATCTATCCTTTAATGTGGCTTCTCAGCACTCTCCCAAGGGTGGTTGGATCTAATTTGCATGACTGTGGAGCAGGGATACCACCAACGCTCTGTACTGTCAGTAAAAAACGCCTAAGTGGGCCGGAGGGAAAACACATTTACAGTGGCTTCAAATACAAAATGACTAACAAGACATACAAAAGATATTGTTGGGTCTTTATTTCTTTAACCCGATTTCTTCAATAGCATGTCAATGAGAACCCTGGTTTTCCCTCAATCGAGGAAAGGGATTAACAGAAATCTGGTTAACTCGAGTTAGATTTCTAATGGAGACGGATGATCGCTGAAAAAGAGACTTGAGTATCAAAGTATCACTGAGGCAGCAGGAAACGACATCACTCATCGTTGTAACGCACTTAAAGTACGCCAGGCTTGGTTTAAAGCTCTGGGAGGGGGGGCTTCTTCTGCGTGTAAACGTAGTAGTTGTGAAACCCTCGCAAAAGACAGGAAGTTCACATCATTATTCACTGTTAAGGTACTTAAGGAATAAATCCTAAGCAGCTGTTTTGGCCCTAAAAAAAGTGTCCCCCGGTGCCCCGAGTGTAGCTCTTGAACATCCTGTGAAGCACTAAAACCTGAACAGCCCCCCCCCCCGCTATTCCGGTCATATTAACAGAAGGCCTGAGCTGGATGGAATTGTCCACCAAGGCACAGGTCTCCTCATTACAGTCTGAGCCAGACAGATGGCTGTTTTTACACAGCACTGTGGCCCTGATGCACTGCAAAAAAAACAACAACATCTCAGCTCGTCAATTTCTCATTTGTTTGGTCTTTAAGTCTTGAAAGAAAGAGGAAAAAATGCAAATTGTGGGAGAAAATCTCCCTCCGTCCCACGTTTGTGCAGCTGTGCAGATGCATGGTTTAATACGTTTCATCCTACTATTAGTTACTTTGATGTTGTCTGCTATATTCAAATTACAAATCCAAAAGATGATTGAAATCTGAAAATGCTTTGGTAACAGATTTGCACTGGTGGATTTTCTTCACTTAATTGAACAGGGACAAAGAAGATTTGAAGATTGTAAAAGTAGGTGTTAAATGAGGTGTTAAAATGAACATTTTCTATGTGGTGACATCAGGAAATATATTACTGAGTAAAACTCCTTCTATTTGATTGTGCTCTTAGTTTCCCCTCCAAATGAGTGCCAGGTCTGACTCGATTGTCTCTCCTGTTTCCTCCATCTGGATCTCCTCGAAGACCAGAGGCCCCCTACTTCTGTCACATTCATTAGCTCATCAGAGCTGAAATCCATCAAACCTGCCTGTTCCTTCATCAACGGTCTATTGAGAGGCGAAGTCCCGCCCCTTCCAGTGGACCAACATGGGAACTTATCTCGGAAAAGAATCTGTACACATATTCAACAGCGAAAAACAAATAATTTTTTGATCCTGTTTAAATCTTGCCATGGATTTTTGTCAATTTAAAAGGGTATTTCAGACGTCCAGAAATTGTGCAGTTGGTCGCAAAACTGTTAGACTGCGAAAATACGTAATTAGAAAGGCAACACACCCAAAAGTCACGTGGGTGATGTCTCTAGCTGCAGCTACGATGTTTATGGAAAGTACTCACACAAACTGGTCTTGCTTGTTTTTTTACTTCCTGGCTGACGGAAAAAAAAAGTTTCTGGATAAAATACATCGGGTAAGATAATGTTACATTTGTGCATGGAACCTAGCTCAGTTCCCTTGCTATGTTGTGCAAGACGAGAGTTGTAGTTCACCGAGTGGTTTCACGCAAAACTAAATGGTGCTACAACAAACTGGGATCCCTTGACAGGCAAAATTACCTTTTAAATGGACAAACATTAAACGTGTAATTCATGGCGCAAGATATTTGTCTCATGCTGTTGACTTACGTCCATCTTTCACCGATAGTTATTTTTGACCAGTTAGAAAAAAGAAGCTTCTCATTTCCTGCCACCTAGGTTTAAATCGGCTTTGGCTAACTAGCTAATCAAGCTAATGTTAGCTCCATGAGTTGGTTGAAAACGCGGGAACTGAAGCTACACATTCAAAATGTAAAAAATGAAATAAACAGATTATTGTTATTGTTTTCTAACAGAACAGTTTGGTTGCTTAGCTTATACTTATGCTTTGTATTTTCAAGCAGTATAATTTCATTACATGTTGCTATCTTACGTTACATTGCTGGGGTTTCTACCGTGCAAACCAAAAATCCAACAAAGAACGGAGCAGCGTCGCTCTCGTTAGCCTCAACGTTAGCCTCAACGTTAGCCTCAACGTTAGCCTCAACGTTAGCCTCAACGTTAGCCTCAACGTTAGCCTCAACGTTAGCCTCAACTCTGACAGCATCCACGACGGGCTTCCACACAGTTGGGAAATACTACAAACTATTAGTGGCGTTTAAGGTTACGTTGACAAACACATTTGTTGGTTAATGATGTAGTACGCTAACAGTTAGCCGGACATGCTACTGTTTCGGTTACTGCTCAAGTTACATTAGAGCAGGTTATTACTGTTTAATCCATTCCTTACACTTTCGTAAGTATCAATAAATCTGTATAGGTATTGCTATCAATATGATTGTCATTATCAGTCCCTGCAGACTTTTAATGTCCAATGGTTTAAATGCTTATACAGAGGACTTCCCATATGCCTATATAGAAAAGATATGATTCTGGGGGAAAAGCCAAATTTAAAAAGGTGGAATATCAGCAGAAAGTGTTGCACATTGCCAGTTAAAATTCTATAATTCTGCTACTGGATTTCAAGTCGCACTGTCAATTCAACCATAAACCATACTTCCTTTTTAGACTTTTTTTTTTTTTAGCCCCCGGCATGATAACACACAGCTCCCGGCCCTCCCTCTTTTTTTCCATCTCCCTCATTGAGCTCAGCACAGACCCAGTTTCTCGTTGCTCTCAGCCAGGCCAGTCTGTACCATCTGCAGTGTGCTAAAAGGTAGACCGAATAAACTCCTTTAAATTCCTCAAACAAGAATCCAAAAAGGTTATCTCGCACATTTTCAGCCTTCTGCTGTTAAGGCAAATAAGCCTCTTTGCTATATGCACCTTAACCTATTTACGTTCAAGCAATTCTCTGCGTCTGCATCATCTGGGAACAAGAAACAGAGAGGGAGCCACAGACTGGCTCAGGACCTATTTTGGAAATCATATTTATGGCTCGGTCGGGAGCAAAAGCAGCATCATTCTTTAATAGAGCATGCCAAAAGTATCTTACATACAACCAAGAGAGCCAATCGCAAGACGCCTCCGCTGTGCACACTACATGTAACATCAAAATACCTTGTGCATCCATGTTGTGTGTGAAATAACCTGAGAGGAAATGTTCTATATGCAGGCGGGCGAGTGATGGATGAAAACCACAACATCATCTGGATAACTCGAAAATGCTGCAGCGCTCAGTGGGCGTCACATTTATTTTCTATGACTGGTGCAGAACACATTCCCTACGAGATATGATCTGTTGAGTTGAGGGCACTACTGAGGAGAGTGTTTCTTTTTAAAAATGGTCCCCGCTCGCAACTCCATTACTTTGCGACCGAATGGAATATGGGAAGAGACATGTTCACCGTGGTGGATTATCTATTTAAAGCCAGCCTCCAGTCACGGCGTACCGAGATGAATGGTGGGAAATAAATCTAGAATCTGATGGTCTCATTTAGAAAATGTGAATGATAATATTAAGTACATGCATGTTCTCAGTTGTAGCAATTTTCATTAAGCCTCATCCTTTAGCTTCATTAGTTCATAGCCTTTACATTTTTTGATGTGGCTTCATTCAAATACAGGATGTGCCCTGTACG